AATTATGGGAAAAATGGATTAAAGCACATTGTTTGCAAAGTATTGCCAAAGTTGGAATTGGCAAGCTTTGCAACAATGGTATAACATGTACCCATTACCTGTCCTGTTTCTGTGACAGCTAGACAATGAAGCGCTCCTACAGCTACATGCACAATCTTCTTCCCAACAAGACCTTCAGCAAGAGTTGGCTTCCTTACATGGGCATCAGTCCCGTGACCTAGTCGAAAATAGTCTCCCTTGCCCCTAAAATGACAAACAATTCATTGGTCATTTTAAAAGATCATTCCAAAAATTGCATGACAATGCACATTTAATTTCATGCCAAATCCTCAAAATAATAGGTTTATTCAGTCATTACAATGTTAATGAGTTATATTTCATGTCTGCGTGAAAATCATGAAATCTGCTAACATTTCTAAAACTCTAATAACACATGTCAAATAATTGAAGATGCCAGTACATGCAGTATAACTGATAAACTGACAACTTTACATGTCAAAATATACAAATTACAAACCAAAATGCTTTTCTAAAATTTGGAAAACAACCAAAACAGTTGAAAAATAGCAAATGAAAATGGAATAATCTGAAAATATACTTAATAATAATAATAATAATAATAAAGTCTTTATTTTAAGAGGCTACACAGTTGCATCAAAGGCAATCTACCCTGTGGGCCTCATAAATTGCACATATTTACAATCATACAGTTGTGAATAACATGAAAAATTATGCAATAACATTAACATAATTATTTTGATATTGCAAATAGACAATAATGATAATGATTATATAAAGTGCACAAAAATATATACAGTGAACAAGGCATTTCAAAATTACAAATAAACCTTTGACAATAACAATATTTCAATTAGAGCAGTGTATTTCTTATAATTTTATATTTGATTTGTCTTTTTCCAATTTTCTATGTATTTATGTTTAAAGTTTTGAAGTGATTGTGCAGAGCGTATGCTGATTGGTATTTCATTCCAAATTTTTGATCCTGAATAGTTAAAACTTTTTCTGAAAAATTCTACTTTTGGTTTTGGTTGGTATATGTTAAGTTTTGAATCTGTTGAACGTAGGGTGCGAGAATGAATAGTATGGTTGAAGGTAAATTTTTGTTTTAAGTACTCTGGGCAAATATTGTTGATTGACTTATATACCATAATTGCTTGTTTATATCTGACTCGGTCTGGGAATTTCATCCAGTTTAATAAAATGAATAGATTTTCAGACGGGGCATCATATGGTTGATCTAGTATAATCCTAGCTGCTCGTTTTTGAAATCGAACTATGGATTGTATTTGCTCCAAATTACAATTTCCCCAGATAGAGCAACAATAGTCTAAGTGAGGTAGTATGTAGGAGTTAAAAAATAGTTTTCTAATGGGAATGTCTATGAAATATTTAATTCTTTGCAGTAGGTATAATTTGGAATTGCACTTTTTTAACACATGATTAATATGGTTTTTCCAGTTTAATTTGCTGTCAACATGGACACCTAGAAGTTTTTCAGAGTTGGAACATTCTATTAAATTATTGTCTAAATGTAGCATGTTTAATAATTTGGAGTCTGTTTTGTTTGATGGATAAATTGCCATTGCCTTTGATTTCTCTGCATTTAGTGACATAGCGTTCATTTGACACCAAAAACTTACATTATCTAATGCAGTTTGTAATTTAGTTTGTACTTCCAGATAAGTTGTTCCAACTGCAGAAATAGTTGTATCATCAGCAAATATATCTGTAAAAATTTCCTTTAGTTCATTTGGAAGATCATTTATATATATAAGAAATAAAAGTGGACCAAGAACAGATCCTTGGGGAACTCCTGATTTTATATGTCCTGGTTCTGATAGTTTCCCAGATATAGATACCTTTTGAAGCCTATCCTGTAGGTAGGACTTAAACCACAGTATTGTTTTATTGCTGATATTAAGGGTTTGTAGTTTCTGGATAAGAATAGAGTGATCTACTAGGTCGAACGCCTTTGAAAGGTCGAGAAACAGTGTTCCAACAACTTTTCCATCATTAATAGCATTTATCCACCTATCTACTATTGAAAGTAAGGCAGTTTCACAGGAGTGATCTTTTCTAAAGCCAGACTGATAGTTATAGATTAAGTTGTTAGATTCTAGAAAGTCTTTGAGGTTATTAGAGACATGGCGTTCAATGATTTTGGTTAGTATTGGAAGGATTGAGATTGGTCTGTAGTTGCATTTGTCACTTTTAGAACCTTTTTTAAATATAGGTGTAACTTTTGCAATCTTAAATTGGTTTGGGAATATATCATTAGAAATGCTTAAGTTCATAATATATGTAATTGAATTCGCTATGATTTCAGCTGACATTTTTAGGTATTTTGGCCCAAGTCCGTCCAGACCTGTAGACTTGCTTTCGTCAAGATTTAGTAACTCTTTTTGAACAAACTCTTTCGTTACAAGTGGTATTTCAAATTTAGAAGAAAAGTTTGAATTTTCTTGGCTGTCATTAATTTCTGGGAGTGTGTGTTGCGTACACTGAAATATGTTAATGAAATAGTCATTAAAAGTATTAGCTGTTTGGACTGGATCTGAAATAGGGTTGCCTTGATCGTCATTGATGAAATTAGTTGGATGTATTACAGATGTACCTGATAAATCTTTAAGATTTTTCCATAGGGTTTTAGGATCATTTTTCCTATTGTTATTTATTTTTTCTGTAAAAAAAGTTTTTTTTGATGTTTTGATAAGTGCTTTTACTTTATTTCTCCAGATCTTGTACTGTTCAAAGTAACCTTTACTTTTAAAATAATCTCTTTGATTTATTGCATATTTTATATCTGTAGTTAACCAGTCTGGTTGACTTGTATGTTTTACACGTTTAGTTTTTAGTGGAGCATGTTGATTAAGTGTATTTAAAAATAAGTTGGAAAAATAGTCTAGTGCATCATTTGGATCATCGTATATTTGCAGGGTGCTCCAAGGTTGACATTTTAATTGTTGTAAAAATTCTTCTTGGTTAAACTTCTTTGTATTTCTATAAGAGATTGTTTTATGCATTGGTCCATCAGAACTTTTAGACGTTTTTCTTGTTATACATACTGGTAAGTGATCACTTAGGGATATTTTGGGGATAGTAATTTTCTTTATGTTACATGGAATATTTGTATACATATGATCAATAATTGTTGATGATGTTTGAGTAATTCTAGTCGGAAGTTCAACCATTTGGCAAAGATTGTAACTGTCATTTAGTTTTTAACCAGTTTGATTTCAATGAATTTTCAGTTTTAAAATCAATATTTAAAGTCTCCCATTATCAACAGTTCCTTGTCTTCACAAATTAATTTTTCCAGGGTATCTTCATACATCGAGTTCCAAGATGACAGGGATGATGGTGGTCGATACACATATCCAAGAATAAATGGTTTTTGATTAAATGGTTAATTTCCAGTAAAATTATTTCCATATTGGTGTTTTCAAGATCTTCACGCCTAACACAAGGGTAGTTTTCTTTCACAAATACAACAATACCTCCACCATTTGATTGTCGATCTCTCCGAAAGAACTGGTAGCCATTTATTAGGAATTCTTCATCACTAAAACTTTCATTTAAAAATGTTTCACAGTTTCATATAGAAAAAAATCAAAAACGCCTACCATGTCCAAACTTGTCCTGATTTTGTTCTTGCCAGTGAAAACTGGGCACCACATTCAATCTGGGTCACTCCAAGACCTCTCAATCTGTCAATCTCCTTGGGAACATTACACCCCTCACTACCTCCACGTCCAAGCTTCCCGAAATCCCCGTCACCCCAGGAATATACCAGTCCCTCATCAGTGAGGGCAAGAGTTTGAGCATCTCTACTGCCACATGCAATCTGTATAACCCTCTGTCCTGCTAGCTCCTTTACCTTTAATGTCATTAAAAAATTAAATTGAAAAAGAGTAACATTTTTTTAAAGGCCTATTTCTGTACATTCTTGCTTTGCTGGCTGGCAATAAAAACAGTGTGTTGTATATCAAATAACAAATCTGTGCAAAAACTTATTACAAGTTCTAATGCAATTATTAATAGTTTTCTCAAGCACATACCCAAAAAATGTCAAATAATTAGGGGTCGCTCTTAGACTCCCATTAATTGTGTGGTATTACATGCTAGTACAAGTCAAACCAGTGAATTAAGGACATCCAAAGCAGAAACTGAACATATGGCCTTTGAAGACAAGTGGTCTTTATTTGGAGGTTAGTCTTTTGTATTTTATTCATGCAGGGGTGACAAAAAATTGTCTTTATTTACAAGGTAGTCTTTAATTGTAGATAGTCTAGATAGTGGTTTGTAGATAGAAAGTGAATAATTTCAATATTCTAACATCTGACAATTACATATCAAGTGTAGAATGATCAGTATTTCACTGGGACTATATTAAATCAATATTGTATTTTACCTGTTTCGGTTTAAGCTGTGTGGTGTTATCACCATGTCCTAATCTTCCATATTCCCCTAATCCCCAGGTATAAAGGTCACCATTAGATGTGATAGCTGCACTATGGGAGCTTCCACAGGAGATGTCTCGTACACGCTTTGACTTCAGGGCATCTATCAACCTTGGCTTGTCACAATTCCTGTAATGGTTAAGTATACTGATTTCTTAATAAAGTTTGACACGCTCAAATAGATGCTATAAAAGACTTAGAGAGTCACAGGGTCCCATGTCCATTTAAATTCAGCAAACAAATCATTAACTTATCCACTTTTCTTTCTACTATACATTCTGTAGGTTTTTCATTCTTTCTATTTTTTTTTAATAAATATACTCAAGTTAAAATTTCACCACAAATGATTTCTTTAGAACTGATAATTTCTGTTGTATAAGTTCTGGTCTTAAGTTTGTATGACAAAAACTTATAATATAAAATACCTAGATACCTCATGAAATATTGAATTATCAAATATAATCAACATCTGAGAAAAGCTATGATCATAAAGTAATATTTACATTCTACTGAAGTGACCAAGTTTGCCGTCATCACCTTCGCCCCATGAGAAAACTTTCCCGTCCACAGTTAAAGCCAGGGCATGACGACCTCCTGAAAGAAAGACAATATATTTCAGATTTCAATTCTACATACAATAATGGCTTAATTACTTCTGTCATCACAGTAAGTCCTTAATATCATAATTGTACTTTTCTTTTTTTTTCATCAGTATCATCACATACATAAATTCTTAATTTTCTGACATGAAATTTACTTACAAAAAGATGATTTCATTATATAAAAAAAAAAAAATTAAGTTTAAAATTTGATATAATCCTAATTGTTATGAGGAAAGTGATTTTATTTACCAGAATGCACTGCCACTTTCTTGATGACATACTGACTGAGTGCTGTAAGTTGTCTCGGCACAGATACCGTCCCTGTATTCATACCAAGCCCTAGTCTACCATTAGTAGCCTCCCCACAGGCATAAACCTTCCCCTCCTGGGTCACTGTAACAGGAAATCATTGTACAAAGTAGAACATAAGGCAAGATGACAACAGTGTCCTTCAAAGATGTATATTTCAAATTCATAAACTTAAATTTATACAATACAAATTCATGTCATATACAGTGATATTCAATACTATAACAAACAGTATCACATCCTTGAGTCACTTTGTTATTCTTTCAAGCAAATGTTAATTACATTCCATACACTAAATTCTTTTTTTGTGTGTGTGTGTGTGGGAGGGGGGGGGGGGGCGGGTTACATCACCAAGACAGTCATATGGCGACTTTCAAGTTTTAACTGATGGATAGTGACAGATTATTTATATAAAAGGTCCTGTGAAGGAGTGCTTAAACACTTGGCACGTTAAAGAACCAAGAGAATGGCAGAACTGTTTATATTCTACTTGCTAGCTTTGGTCAACATACATGACAGGCTTCAAACCCGCAGCTTTACAGAAAATGTTATTTCAAATTCAATCACCTTAACTATTTAGCAGTGGTGGCACAATCTAGGTACTAAAATACTGTTTAAACATTACATAAGATTACAAGATTACAAGTATATAACAATGACACTTACCACAAAAGAGTGACTTAGATCCACCTACAATCTGTACACACTTCAAAGCTGATAATGTCTCATTCAACACTGGTAACTTAATCTGTAGCAAAATAAAAGAAAAGACATGTACATAAAATATACTAGAAGAATTTTAAACACTCAAGTTTTACATTTTCTCCCCCCCCCTTTTTTTGAGGGGGTTGGGAAACATACCAAACAAAGAATAAGACCGTTCCAGCTCCTACTGGCAGATGAAAACCCCAAAATAATTAAAAGAGTGCTTGGCCACTTAGTAGCACCACCTTAAAACAGCTTCTTCATACCTATATTTAGCTCATGGGTGCAATTTAGATAAATGTATTTGAAAATTTCTGAAAATCCTTACAGTTTAATACAGCAAAACAATGGCACTTATGATTCCTAACTACTGGAAAAATTCTGAAAACTTCTCTCATGATACCCATCAATGAAATATTTTTACATGTATAGAAAACATATCCTGATAACATCCAAGTTTACAGAACTATCTAAGCTATGATTTAACCTTATAATCAATCAATAATAAATTTCCATCAAAATAATCTTCATATTAATTTCCATATTTGTTACATGTATCTAAAAACTATCTAAACTGATAGTGACCTTTGACCCTTTTGGACCTCCAAGCTGATCTTTATCATTTAAACCCCATGTGAAGACATGGGTTTGAATCTCTTTTCCAGCTCCTTTGACTTTACGTTTCACGCACGGTATTGGTAGCAACCTCGAGTCCTCTTCCTCGTCTTCACGGTCAGAGGCGAGGAACGAGAACCCGGCAGCTGAGTCATCATCGGACCGGAAACGTCCGACGAGAGACAGACCGTGTAATCTTAACAAATCAATTTCCACTCTGTCTGCACTGTTTAAAGCAATCTCTTATAATATCTATAATACTGAAATTGAAAAAAGAAATATACATATATAAAAAAAAATCTGATAAAACACAATCTTACAGTATTAGAATTTTCATATATTATAGAATCTAGAAGTAAAGATTTACATTCTTTATAAATGCCTCATTACTTTTAAATGATAAAATCCTTTTTCGGGGGAGTTTTATGGAAAACTTTTATACCTATATGAATGCACATTTTCATTACAAGTACCATATCAGTGAACTAATTACTATAGTTAAATAGAAATTTAAAAGTAGCTTTATAAACAAAAGAAAAGGAGCTAAACAAGTGCGAGCAGACACAGGAGCAAAACCACTGACTTTCTGTAATCTAGCTGAAAAGTTTTTCCTCATTAGTTCAATTACTCTGGTCTAATTTGAACCCTTAGAGATGGGGTGGGGGGCCTAATACTTCTAAATAAAGAACCTTTATCACTTGGCCATGACAGCACCTATTGTTTCAAATACAGAAATATCTAGTAAATTCAGTAAATTTTAATGATAACAGATCTATAAAAACATACGTCGGAGCAGTCCTGCAGGAGGGTAATCAGTGATTCAGAAGAACCAATGTTGATTGATCGTATCTCCTTCAGGGAATGGACAGAGTCTCCACCACTAATTACAATCAGGGATGGCATGTAACTGGAATCTGTTGGCTCAACTCTCATAAATAAACGATTCACTAGAATATCAGGTAGCATCTCTATGCGGATCCAATGCTGCAATGAAAGTTTATTTTCATCATATTTATTACTATCATGTTACACAATACATGGTATTTTTTATTACTAGCAATTTGTCACTCCATAAATAAACTATGTTACGTTATAAGCTATGTCGCAAATATAACCCATTAACTAACTTTGCCCTGGAAGCCAGCGTTCTGCCTATAGTCACTTCTCATTTTGATCAGTTTATGTGGATGGTTCCCCTAAATTCTATTAACATAACCCATTAACTAACTTAGCCCTGGGAGCCAGACCTATGTCAATATCCACTATTTTCCTTGCTCAGTCTATATCACTGGTTCCCCTAAATCTGATAGATATAACAGATTAACTAACCTTGCCCTGGGAGCCAGCACTCTGCCAGTAGCCACTATTGCCCTCGATCAATCTATGTGACTGGTTTTCTCGTGTAGATACACTCAAGTTTTTCACACACATATGCCAGTCTTCAATCAGAGAACCGCTTGTAGGATAAACTGGTCTCTTCTTCTGTTTTCCTGGTTTACCCGCTGGTACTGGTAGACCACCTATAGTAGGAAATCAAATACATGTACATTCATATTGGACTAATGGTTCAATATTTAACTAGTTTGCATTTTATAGATATTTTTTTCATTTCATTGGTGCACAAGGTTTTAACCGTACAAACAATTTGACATTCTCTCCTCTTAACTAAAAACAAATTTTTGCACAACATGAAATAAACAATACATTGTAGGAATGCTTATCATGGATATTTTGTCAATTTTCTTATAGCTAACTTTTAAAAGTACTGTACATGGTCTGCACTTGATTAAACAATTATTTTTTTGTTTGGTTCATTTTGGTCATATTTTGGCAGTCTGTCCACCTAACGGGCTTTCTTGGAACATAACTGGCTTTCACGGACAACTAACCAGTACCAATTTCTCCACAAGTGATGACCACTATTCTAATATGAATTTTGTACCAGTGGTGAGAGACGAATGACCATATTAGACTTAATGTCCAAAATCAGTGGTCATGAGAAATTACGCCTCCGTCAAGTATATACCCAGTGACTGAAATACAGATTTGGGCTTGTATTTACAATCCTTGAATTGAGTGGCAAAGTAACTTAACCACTAGGCCACCTCTCATGTGAGGTATTGTTTGCTTCATCTCAAAATTAAAGGTCAACATTAAGACATACCTGGTTCAGCTATTCTACTGAATGGATGCCTATGTTTCTTGGTTTTAAAACAGTTCTCACAGAAATCAAAGTCGTCACACACACGACACTTGTAACGAACCCCGACAATGGGAAACATACTGCATTCATCACATCTGCAATATAAACACAGAAATACATACTATTCTGTAGATTCAATAACAATATATTTGTTCTAACACTGGTCATTTGTATGATTTGTATGGCACCAGTCATTCCAAATATACCACTACACTTTATAATACTTAAATCTCCAGGGTACAAGGTGAAATGGGAATCTTGCATTTGCGATGAATTGTCTTAAAACAAAAATAAAATATACTTTTATTCAAGAATAGTCACAATTGTCTCTTATTTCATATAAGCAGGAAAGTATTGGTAACATTCTCTTACCCGACTCCAGCGTGGGTACTGGGTACAAGCTCCATCTCGTCCAGGACACCGGTCCAGTGAGCCTGCTGAGGGAAGTCTACAGTAATGTCTCTCCCATTAGATATAATGGCTGTCACTGTACCTACACTGCGATGAGTCACTGAACCCCATTTGTAAGTTGGTGTAACTATGCTAGGCTTCACCCGAACCTTGTCCCCAACCTTAATACTAGAGTCTGAAAAGAGAAATATGGCACTTATAAATAAAAATTCTCACATCATTATTATATCAAAAAGATGAAAAGTCTTTTTATGTCATAAGTTGTGAAGATGTCACTTAATATTAAGAAACATACCATTTAGACACAAAGAACTAGAAAAGCACACAAAGGACAAGGATGCCCACACATTCCACTGTTTTATAAGTCTACCAACAGACAGCATGGTGGACGAGGGAAAAAATTTATCTGACCCTTAAACGGGAAGGGGGGTTTTAATCAACATAATATTAGAACTAGAACTAGATTCTTGCATTTCATATATAGAATAAAAATGTTTCAGCCCATGTTTGTCAGAAAACTTACTTGTATTGATGAATCCTTGCAGCTCAACATGAACATATCTGACCCAGTATGTACCACCCTTTCTCTGCCAGTCTGCTTGTATATTCAAATCTTGAAGGCCGTCTCTGTCCAACTATGAAATAACAATTAATATTGTATCTTTTGAGTATGGAACCTTATGACATGGAACCCTATGTTATTAATGGTAGAATGGAGCAAAAAATTTGCTTCAGCTTAAGATTTTAAAATATTCATAATCTACAGATAAACAGGTGCATAATGTAAACATGTATTGAGCATCCTCAGGAAATTATGATATATGGGTTTTAATTTAAAAGCTTTACTGTATCTGTTTTTAGGAACGAATATAATCACCTTGATAACCTTCCCAATGTCTCCCTCATGCACCTCCTCATACGCCCGGCAACATTTTATTGACATGCCAACCTGTATATTGTCTCTAATATACATGGCATATTCATCATCTGTTGCAAAATCTGCACGCTTCTTGTATGCTTGGTTAGTGTTGTTACCCAAAACCACCGATAGTAATAACTGAAAGTTTTATAATATTTTATCAATATATGATATATATATTTCAATTATAATCAAATAATGAACATTTTTTTTAGTTCTTATTTGTAGCAGAATAACGGATTGTAGCTGTAAACATTTTTATGAGGACATAAATCAAAAGAAAATTTGGAAGCGATAAATCATAAAGAAAATTAACAGAGTAAATAACTGACGAACCTCTCCAGAAGAATCGAGATCTTCGAACACATCTGACGTGGAGTCAGTGTCCGAGTCATAGTCCACCGATGACACACTGTCCGAGTCTGAATCTTCCGCCGGCAATGTTTCTACATGCTCGATCAACCAGTTCACCACAGACTCTGGACTTGGTATATCTGATGCTGAGGCCAATGAACCACCTGAAAGAAAGATATTTAAGCAATATTGTACCAGAGAAAATTGGTTAAGTAAGAAAAATATCACATTTAGAAGTGGTAATGCTTCAGCATAGTCAAGCTTGAAATTAGAAACTAACCGTTATCTTTAAATGAAATTGGATAATGTGCGTATAGAAAGCTAATAATGTATGAAATATTAATAACCCTTATTCTATTATCAAAAGTAAGGATAATATGATAAGAGTGCCTGTAGGTAACTTTGACGATTCATTACAGTTTAAAATTAGGTTAACTTGAATTATGTCTTCATGGTTTCTAGACTTCAATAGAAATCTGCATGATTTTGCATCTTAAAGAAACAACTGATTATTTATGTTGCTTTTCTTTGCCTTCCAAAAGTTAATGAAAATTCTTCAAAATTTACCTTGTCACAAAGTAACCAATCTGTAAAAAGAAAAAAAAGAAAGAAGTTTTTCTTACCAAGAGATTTGATGGCGAATTCCACCTGTTTTCTTTGAAATCCCATCTCCATAATTCTGGTCACTTCCGGTAAAGGTGGAGGTACACTAGGTCGGCTCTTCTTCAATTTAGGTTTCCCAAGAACCGTCGGCACAGCTGGATTCACAATTGGTATGACAGCTGGTGCAGGTAGCGGAGCTTGGAACGGTGCGACCTCACTGTCCGAGTCTGACTCATCAATCTCCTCCTCGAAGCAGTCTCTAGATGCTGTAAGATACTGACAGACGGACAAACAAGCCGCCTCTAGCTCGTCTCGACCAAATAAAGCTTTCAGTGGAGAGGGCTGAGTAGCAGACATTAGAAACTGTTGTAATATCGTGTTGGGAGATTCTCCCGTATCTGGTGAATAATCATCGTCACTAGGGCTATTATCAACCTCGGCATGCTGGAGTTCCGGTAGTGTAACCTGGGTGAGGATTTTACGGAGGAAATTCTGGTGTTGCAAGAGAACTCGGCCGGCTCGTAACATACCAAGTTTTATCTGCTGCTTCCTCAAATCTGCCATGTCAACCCTTGTTCCTAGATAGGAGAAGGAAATTAATGTATCAGTGCATATCTAAAATTTTTATAAACAAGAGAAAATAACAACAGGTTCATACAGAAGCAATATGTGAAACACTGATCACTGCAGTAGGTTTAAGGGTTCTTAATGAATAATCAACTGATCACAGTTCACTCCTATTTTGAACAGGATTTAAGCTAGTACATGTAACTAGAATGTGTCTTAAGTAAATATGATTTTCTAATACATTTTATATACAAAATCCCGAAATTATTAATTTGATAATAATAGCCTATAGTCATTATAAACTTTTCTATAGAACAAAACGAAAAAGCTTACATACTGTTGAAAATGGGTGTTGAAAACAACCCCAGATATTTAACAATGCCAAATGTCTAAAGCAAAATTTCTAAAATTTAGAAATACAAGATAATTTACCTTCAGACTCTACAGTGGTTGTACTTGTGGCCAGTGGTGCCTTGTCCGAGTCCCGACCATCTTTCTCCCCCTTGTATATGTGGCAGGCCAGGCACAACATCGTAGCCAGCATGTTCACAATCTCCTCCGACACGGACAACTTGTCCACATCAAACTCCAAACACTGTACCTGTAAAATGTCATCTGTATTACTTCAAATCCTGTTAACTTAACCCTTATCCTGCTAAATTTCTCATGTACATTGCCGGAATTTGGTTTCATACACTGTCCGTTATCAATTTTGAGGATATCAAAATAAATGTTTTAAGCTAGTCAGCAGTATTATATAGGGCCTTGTAAGATCACAGAGAAGTACCAGTTGACCTGACTCTATACTAATGACATAGGTCATTCATTTTCATTCTAGCATTCTACGGATACCAAACACAAATATGTACAAAACAAACACGAGATGCAGAAAATTGTCATATGTTATCATGCCTGTATCTATATACCTTTCGTTAGACACAGATAGAAATCTGGGTATTACAAAAAACCTTGACTAACTCAACATTTTTATTGATTATGATACTTTCTACAGTATTAAGTTATGGCGTGGGCAATTTTCAGTGATGACCCTTTGCCCCATAACAACAGAAACTTCTATAATTTTATAAAACTATTTTATAATACTTACTGGTATAAGAGTATTCAGTCTGGATGATGTCACATTTCCATCATTCATCTGCACTAGAATCTTTCCACGAGGTGTTATCTTAGATATCGTTCCCATGCCAACATCATCTATTTTAACCACACCTCCAAGGCGGGGCCTGCTGTCTACTCCACCAATCACTGCCAACATTGCCAGGACAGAGGCTTCATCTGTAGCCAGTGATGGGTCGTTCTAAAATGTTATAGTACACAAAATACAATATAGTTATTACAATGAACATTTGACTTCTCAAACAAAGAACCAAATCTAAAGTATAAATTGTCACAGACTAAACATGCAAAAAAGACTTTATTTATAATTATTTTAAGGTGATTTTTTTTAACTGTTTAAGTTAATGAAAACAATACCTGTCAAAAAATTGTGGTAATGTCTCCTCTTAACAACCCTCCTGTTTTGGTGCAAACAAACAATTTACCACTCAAGTTGGTGCCACGCACCTCCCTCAACTACATTAACCCGGCAGTGCATGTACTGATGGCAGGTAAAAAATTGCTCCTTTTCAGTGCTATCCCAAATTACAACACTTAGGGTGGGCTGTGGTGGAAGGTTTTGTAAAACTGACTGATGCATTATAAATTCCCACTAAAATCCTTTAAAATCATGCTTAAGTAAATATATGCCAAGTACATCTGAAATAACTGCAGGATATATATTATGTCAAGATACCTTAGCACCAACATGGTGGTCCAACATGATATGTGGCAATGATCTCAGATGTTTCACCATCAACTGGTTGATACACGCATTCCACGTATCTAGGGTGTGAAGCTTCCTTAGCAACAGAACAAGTTCTTCGGCAACAGTGCTAGTATACGATGCTGTCAAGGAGACAGGTGCTCGGTGACGCTGACGTCTTGGAGAATCCACTGAAAGATATGAATCACCTTGATTACAATTAACATTATAGTTTCATATACCTTGATCTGTTGGTAACAAAAGCACTGTTAATATGGTGACATTCCAGCTTCCTTGTTGGGTGCCTAAGATACCGAAAATGAATATCATAATTCTACAACTTCCAAACATCAAGGCAGTTGAAGAACAACATTTGCCTCTCCTAGCTCTATTCAAGGTTCAGGCGAGTAACAAAACACATGTGTAAGTATCAACTTCCTATAGGAAACAACATAGCTTCCTTACAAACCAAAATCATAAATTTTTACACAGAACTTCATAGTACAAAGATTGCACATCGCAACTTATTTCAAGTCATTAAGAGTAACAAATGTAAAAAATAGATTTATCTTAATATGACATAGTTCAATGATTATTTTACAAATCAAAAATTGTGCCTCTGCATATAGATATGCAAAATTCTTATCTACCCTTTATATTTTCATTTACCAAGTGCAAAACTTTCATATTGCTCTAAATTCTAAATGAACCAAAATTTTCATAGAACACTTAAAATATGATTTGAACCCGGCTATGCTCTTCATACACTGAATAATTTCATTTCGTAAACTGAGCCTGACACCAGTCAATATAATACAAGAACCGGTTGAACCGGGTGATGCTCCCCGAGAAGGTTCTGGACACAGGAAAGTATAAAAAAAATGAACAAAGGGCAATAACTCCAAAATTAGACCAGGCTTTGTTTAGGTTCTTGAAGCGTTGCAGTTCTATCCAATTATATCTAGCTACCTACAAAGTTTCATGTTGATATCTCTAATAGTTTTAAAGAAATGTCCAGGACAAAAGTCAAAAAAGTAAAAATAAACAAAAGGGCAATTACTTCAAAATAAGGCAAGGCCAGAAGTAATGATTCTTAAGCACTGCACTTCCACCCAATGAGACCTATCTATCTACAAAGTTTCATGTTGATATCTCTTATAATTTTAGAGTAATGTCCCAGACAAAGTTCAAAGTGTCAAAATGAACAAAGGGCAATAACTACAAAAGTAGGCAAGACAGTGTTACAGTTCTTGTGCACTGCAAACTTACTCAATGAGATCTATCTACCTACAAAGTTTTATGTTGATATCTCTTATACATTAAGAAATATGTCCCGGACAAAGTTCAAAGTGTAAAAATAAACAAAGGGGGATAATTTTTCAAAAATTAGGCAAGGCAGAGTTAAGGTTCTTGTTCACTGCACACCTACTCAATGAGATCTATCTACCTACAAAGTTTCATGTTGATACCTCTTATACTTTTAGAGTTATGTCCCGGACAAAGTTCAAAGTGTAAAATAAACAAAGGGGGATAATTCAAAAATTAGACAAGGCAGAGTTACGGTTTCTTGGTGCACTGCACACCTACTCAATGAGATCTATCTACCTACAAAGTTTCATGTTGATACCTCTTATACTTTTTAGAGTTATGTCCCGGACAAATTTCAAAGTGTAAAATAAACAAAGGGGGATAATTCAAAAATTAGGCAAGGCAGAGTTACGGTTCTTGTGCACTGCACACCTACTCAATGAGATCTATCTACCTACAAAGTTTTCATGTTGATACCTCTTATACTTTTAGAGTTATGTCCCGGACAAAGTTCAAAGTGTAAATAAACAAAGGGGGATAATTCAAAAATTAGCAAGGCAGAGTAACCGGTTCTTGTGCACTGCACTTCTACTCAATGAGATCTATCTACCTACAAAGTTTCATGTTGATACCTCTTATACTTTTAGAGTTATGTCCCGGACAAATTCAAAGTGTAAAATAAACAAAGGGGATAATTCAAAAATTAGGCAAGGCAGAGTTACGGTTCTTGTGCACTGCACTTCTACTCAATGAGATCTATCTACCTACAAAGTTTCATGTTTGAACCTCTTATACTTTTAGAGTTATGTCCCGGACAAAGTTCAAAGTGTAAAATAAACAAAGGGGGATAATTCAAAAATTAGGCAAGGCAGAGTTATGGTTCTTGTGCACTGCACTTCTACTCAATGAGATCTATCTACCTACAAAGTTTCATGTTGATACCTCTTATACTTTTAGAGTTATGTCCCGGACAAAGTTCAAAGTGTAAAAATAAACAAAGGGGAATAATTCAAAAATTAGGCAAGGCAGAGTTACGGTTCTTGTGCACTGCACACCTACTCAATGAGATCTATCTACCTACAAAGTTTCATGTTGATACCTCTTGTTGTTTCAAAGTTATGTCCCGGACAAGAAAAGGGGACGGACGGACGGATGGACGGACGGACGAAAGACGGACGGACGGACGGACGGAAAGACGGACGGACGGACAAGGGCGGCGACTATATGCTCCCCGAAATTTTTTCGGGGAGCATAAAAAATATATTCATAGTTATATAACTTGACAAAGTTATGGCGTTTTGAAATTGTGAAAAATACAAGTTCGCAAGTCATTGCTATGACTTGTGATGAAGTTCAAAATATTCAATTTTATCATATATATATACACATATATATGATAAAATTGAATATTTTTCAACTTCATCACAAGTCATAGCAATGACTTGCCAATTTGTATTTATATATATATAAAAACAAAATACAACTAGAAATGTGTCCATAGGACACGGGTGCCCCCACCGCGCCACTGTTTTGTCAATCTTATGACTCTAGGTCAAATATTTTTTGAAAACTAAAAATCTTTTTACTAAGTAAAGGGCAAGAACTTTACAAATACTGAATAAATCCCCAAGCAAACCCCAAGTTGAAAATTTATACTACTGTAAGTCAAGGGCAATAACTCTAACAAAACTGAAAAAAATCCACATGCAAATAATTAAGTCCCAGGTTCATAGCTTCACAGTGATGTGAATCATTATTCCTGTAATTTACTGATGTTGATCATTATTCCTGTAAAGTTTGTCGATTCTAACTAGGGTTTCTTAATCGGACAAAAATCATAATCGATCATCGAAAATAATCGAAAACAACCCTTTTCAAACAATCATCGATTATATAATCGAAATATTTACAATAACAAAGTTAATATGTACAATGTACATATCATGCTTTACTATTTATTATTATTCCATTAATATTCTATATTTTGTGTAACTACAACTTTATCAACTGAAATAAACTAGTTTACAGATATACTATGCTCATACTTTAGTAAAATATTTTAATCAAATAAATTCATTAAAATCTATAAAATTATTCTGTTTCAATTTCAATAAAGAAATGAATAAACTATGCATGGGAACAAGTTAAGTTGGTTCTTTCAAAACTGTCAGGGTTTTTTTAATGACACTATATATTGATATTGTAACTACCTTTAGTGTGTAAAATAATTTTATACAAAACATATCTTCTTTGTGTGAAGTCAAAACATGTTTATTTTATATTTACAAATAGACTGTGTAGCAATTCTAAATATTTTCTAATGTCAAATTTTAGCATAGTATATCCCTCACTGTCAACTATTAACACCATGGTCACCAGTATGCTTTCATATTCAATTGAATGCAAATTATTGTTTCAACCAAAGCTGGCTTTAATTTAGAGTGTTGTTATAATACAGTGAGTCACTTAAGTAACAGCAAAAAAATAAATTACCGATGATCGATTATTAAACCTTGTAATCGATCATCGCCGATCGGTCCTTTAAACGATCAATTTTCGATTATACTCGATCATCGTTTAATCCCTAATTCTAACTCAAGCACTCAAGCACTCAAGGAACAAATAACAACATAATGAAACAGTTTTTACTAAGTCAAGGGAAATAACTCTACAAATACTGGATAAATCCACAAGCAAAACCCCAGGAGCAAAACTAAATATGCTGAGCAGCCTTCCCATAAGGTTTAATGACTCTATGTCAAATCCTTTTTGAGTTACATGCGACACAAGTTGAAAATTGCAAACATTTTCTAAGTCAAGGGCAATAACTCTAAAAATACTAAATAAATCCAGACAAAAATACCTAGGTGCACAACTACACATGCTGATCAAATACTCCTGTAAAGTTTGATGACTCTATGTCAAATCCTTTTTGAGTTACATGCGACACAAGTTGAAAATTGCAAAATTTTACTAAGTCAAGGGCGATAACTCTAAAAATACTAAATAAATCCAGAAGAAAATACCCAGATGCACAACTACACATGCTGATCAACATTCCTGTAAAGTTTCATGACTCTAGGTCAAATACTTTTTGAGTTACATGCGATACAAAGTTGAAAATTGCAAAATTTTACTAAATCAAGGGCAATAACTCTAAAAATACTAAATTAATCCAAAAGAAAATACCCAGGTGCACAACTATACACACTGATCAACATTCCTGTAAAGTTTCATGACTCTAGGTCAAATACTTTTTGAGTTACATGCGACACAAGTTGAAAATTGCAAAATTTTACTAAGTCAAGGGCGATAACTCTAAAAATACTAAAAATATCCAGACGAAAATACCCAGGTGCACAACTACACATGCTGATCAACATTCCTGTAAAGTTTGATGACTCTAGGTCAAATACTTTTGGAGTAACATGCGACACAAGTTGAAAATTGCAAAATTTTACTAAGTCAAGGGCAATAACTCTAAAAATACTAAAAATATCCAGATGAAAATACCCAGGTGCACAACAACACATACGGATCAACATTCCTGTAAAGTTTCATGACTCTAGGTCAAATACTTTTTGAGTTACATGCGACACAAGTTGAAAATTGCAAAATTTTACTAAGTCAAGGGCAATAATTCTAAAAATACTAAAAATATCCAGACGAAAATACCCAGGTGCACAACTACACATGCTGATCAACATTCCTGTAAAGTTTCATGACTCTAGGTCAAATACTTTTTGAGTAACGTGCGACACAAAAGAGAACGGACGGACAGATGGACAAGGGTAAGTCTAAATGCCCGCCACTAATGTGGGGGCACAAAAATGCAAACCGACATCAGAACCAAAATCAAAAACAATGACAAACTGCTAGTACCTGCTGACAAAACAACCACCTACTACACAATGGATACTGACTCATATGAAACACTTCTACATAAGAATGTGACAACTAGAAATGTGTCCATAGGACACGGGTGCCCCCACACTCCACCGATTTGTCAATCTTATGTCTCTAGGCCAAATTTTTTTTTGGCTACATGTGCCACAAGTTGAAAACTAAAAATCTTTTATTTAGTAAAGGGCAAATATTACAAATACTGAATAAAGCCACAAGGAAACACCAAGGTGCAGAAGTACACATGCTGACCAACATTCTTGTAAACTTTCAGGCCTACAGGTCATAAACTTTTTGAGTTACGTGCGACATAAGTTGAAAATTGTAAATTTTTACTAAGTCAAGGGCAGTAACTCTAAAAATACTCAAGGGCAATAACTCTAAAAATACTAAATATATCAACACGAAAATACCCAGGTGCACAACTACACATGCTGAGCAACATTTTTGTAAGGTTTCATGATTCTAGGTCAAATTCTTTTTTTGTTACATGCGACACAAGTTGAAAAGTGGAAATTTTTACTAAGTCAAGGGCAATAACTCTAAAAATACTAAATATATCCACATGAAAATACCCAGGTGCACAACTTCACATGCTGATCAACATTCCTGTAAGGTTTCATGACTCTAGGTCAATTACTTTTTGAGCTATGTGCGACACAAAAAGGGAACAGACTGACAGATGGAAGGACGGACGGACAAGGTTAAATCTAATTGCCCCCCCCCCCCCATAGTCCTAGGCAAAGCATTATATGCTCGAAAGTGTTGTTTGTTTTCTTTTAGTAAGGATGAAGCATTTGTAAGACATTACATAAATTAAATGAAGTATTACCTCCTTTAAAACAATCCTTAAAGTTTAAAATTTGGCCCCAAATGGGAACTAAATTATGCTCCTGAAAACTATTTTCAGTTTTAGGTGATAGGACCTTTGAACTCTTAAACCTTGTTGACCCCAAAATCGAAAGGGGTGGTCTAAACCCAATATGGACAATTCATCCTAGAAGTTTGAACACTAGGGGCCAATAAAAAAAATTATTTTGGAAAACTGTTTTCAGTTTAAAGTAATAGTGACAGCCTTTCCACCTTGGACCTCAAAATCTTTTAAAGGTGTCTTCTAAACCTAAGTATGGACAATTTTTCATCCCCTTAAAAGTTTAAAATTGTGGCCAAATAACCAAATTTTATGCTCCTAAAACTATTTTCCAGTTTTAAAGGTAATAGGACCCCTGACCTTTTGAACCTTTGGACCCCAAAATAAATTAGGGCTTCCCTACCCAATATAGAAAAAACATCCTATGAAGTTTTTGAACACTGTGGGGCCAAATGGAACTTAAGTTATGTTCCGGAAACTTTTCAGTTTTAAGGTAATAGCAGTCTATACGGAAGTCAAATTTTTTTTCAGGCCACAAGGACCGAGACCCTTAGGTTTATTTCCGGCTCGGATAATATTTTTTCCGGCCCAGACATTTCAAGCATTATTTTATAATAACTTAGTTGAATGTAAAAATGATCGTCTTTCTTTAAAGTGTGACTATCATTAGTGTGACCATCATATAGAAACACAAGAAGATGCTGACCAATTGAAATAACTTAAGCAGGGTTCTCACTAGAATTTTCAAAGAAGGAGTCCTGGGACTCCCAAGCACAACAAGAACCGGTTGAACCGGGTGATGCTCCCCGAGAAGGTTCTGGACACAGGAAAGTATAAAAAAAATGAACAAAGGGCAAAAAACTCCAAAATTAGGCAAAGCAGAGTTATGTTTTTTTGCACTGCACTTCTATTCAATGAGATCTATCTATCTATAAAGTTTCCTGATGATATCAGAACTATGTCCCAGGTAAAAGTCAAAGTGTAAAAATGAACAAAGGGCAATAACTCCAAAATTAGACCAGGCTTTGTTTAGGTTCTTTAAGCATTGCAATTCTATCCAATTATATCTAGCTACCTACAAATTTCATGTTGATATCTCTAATAGTTTTTAAAGTATTGTCCAGGACAAAGTCAAAAAGTAAAAATAAACAAAGGGCAATTACTTCAAAATAAGGCAAGGCAGAGTTACGGTTCTTGTGCACTGCACTTCCACCCAATGAGACCTATCTATCTACAAAGTTTCATGTTGATATCTCTTATAATTTTAGAGTAATGTCCCAGACAAAGTCAAAGTGTAAAAATGAACAAAGGGCAATAACTCCAAAATTAGGCAAGGCAGAGTTACCGTTCTTGTGCACTGCACACCTACTCAATGAGATTTATCTACCTACAAAGTTTCATGTTGATACCTCTTATACTTTAAGAGTTATGTCCCGGACAAAGATCAAAGTGTAAAATAAACAAAGGGGGATAATTCAAAAATAAGACAAGGCAGAGTTACCGTTCTTGTGCACTGCACACCTACTCACTGAGATCTATCTACCTACAAAGTTTCATGTTGATACCTCTTATACTTTTAGAGTTATGTCCGGACAAATTTCAAAGTGTAAAATAAACAAAGGGGGGTAATTCAAAAATTAGGCAAGGCAGAGTTACGGTTCTTGTGCACTGCACACCTACTCAATGAGATCTATCTACCTACAAAGTTTCATGTTGATACCTCTTATACTTTTAGAGTTATGTCCCGGACAAAGTTCAAAGTGTAAAATAAACAAAGGGGGATAATTCAAAAAATTAGGCAAGGCAGAGTTATGGTTCTTGTGCACTGCACACCTACTCAATGAGATCTATCTACCTACAAAGTTTCATGTTGATACCTCTTATACTTTTAGAGTTATGTCCCGGACAAAGTTCAAAGTTTAAAAAATAAACAAAGGGGAATAATTCAAAAATTAGGCAAGGCAGAGTTACGGTTCTTGTGCACTGCACACCTACTCAATGAGATCTATCTACCTACAAAGTTTCATGTTGATACCTCTTGTTGTTTTCAAAGTTATGTCCCGGACAAGAAAAGGGGACGGACGGACGGACGGACGGACGGACGGACGGACGGAAAGACGGACGGATGGACGGACGGACGGACAAGGCGGCGACTATATGCTCCCCCGAAATTTTTTCGGGGAGCATAAAAATACCTACTAATCTTGATGATTTGAACCAACTCTAAACTCACCATGTGGAACAAGTGTTGGGTCAGCTGAGCAGGAAACCAGAATGGATCCCAGTAAGTGTATAAGTCTATTAACAATGGTCTGGACCCTGGCTTCCTCTACATTTTGATCCCAAGATGGAAGTACAGTTCTCAAAAGCTTTATTGTCAGTATCTGTAATATAAAGCGATAGCAAATGACATTTTAAAAATAAAACCACCCAAAAAAAATAATAAGAAAGTACTATTCACTGCAGCCCTGTTATCACATGCCCCATTATAATGCAAACCTCATTTAACACTTGTGGGTCTTAGCTCCACACAAAAACTAAAACTATTTTAGCAGTTGATAATATTATACTTGGTTCTTTACCTGTTTAGAAACATTGGCTTGTTTATGTGCTTTTTCTTCCTCCAATATCTTCAAGAGAAGATCCACCCATCTCTGAGAACTGAGAGCTTTGCAGACCGTCGGTCCTGTTGCTATACTACGTAGAAATCCCAGAGAACACCAGCTATAGTGTTGCTCGCAGGCAATCTGTACAGACACTGAATTGGCATCTAGAAATAAATTTATATTACTAGATATCATTTACTTTCTCAGTACTATTTATAGTATTGATTTATGCCTATGTCAAGTACAAATGATATAAATCATAGCAAGCCTGCATATTTCCCAGTCCCAGCTATAATGATTGACTGTCCCAAAATTAAAGCAAGATAAGTGCATTTCACAGATGCGGAGATGACAAAATGTTTCATTGCTCATATTTTCAATTTCACACACAATTGTTAAAGTTATTTAACAAGAGCTGCTCTAAGACAGTGGGCACGACTATTCTACATGCTTGACAGTAAAAAAAAGTGCCTAACTCATTTAAAAAGGTAACCCAGATTGGCCATCATGTAAGATAATCACTTGGAACAAGCATGTGAAGTTTCAACCTAGAAGATTTGGAGATACCAACCTGCACGCAAAAACTTTACCTAAATGTGACAAAGACCCCTTGATGAGTACAACAGCTCTTTCTATTCTTTTAATAGTCCAATTAAAATCATGATCTAACCGATATTATCAATTAATTAACCACTTTTTCACATTGTCCTTCACACAACATATGCTTTTAGATTAGAATTTTTTAACAGGAATAAATTTGAAATAACTCAACATACTTAGTCCATAATTACATCCACAATCCACTATATTCCTCATCAATCCGCACAATGTACCTACAGCTTCTTTCTGTGTAGATTCTGAATGTATTCCTGTTGCCACGGAAACAACCCTCAGTAAGGTCAATGTTGCTTTTCTTATCAAAGATGTTGGATGTTTACTTTCAGTTTTCTTTGAGTCTGAAACAAATAATCATATCTTTAATAATGTCATTTATAATGTACAACAATTAGTGGAGAGATACTCATCTATGAATAGAAATTGTCTCTTAAGTTATGCGTAAAATGTGTTTGTTTATAATCAGTAATTATTTGACTAAAAATAAGCTATGACAAGATTTGTTTAATGCTGATAAATACGCTGATAAATATGCAATGGAATAAAATTAAAGTTACATGATCCATTCAAATGTTACAGATCCATATAAAAATTATATAATATTTATCAAAGTGGACTCCAATTACATGTGTGAGGCATGGCTTTATTACCCTGTGTTAAAAGAAAAAAAACAACAACAAAATCACTGTAGAATTATCTACCTTTATTTGGTGCTAATTCTTCATCATCATCTTCATCATTATCGGGCATCTCTGGAGGTTCTGCTAGTTTTAGGTCGTACTTCCCTTCCTTCCCCATTCGGTAACTATTGGTGCTACCAGAATCCCACTGTACTCTTACTCCAGCATCATTGCTAGTTCACCATTACACGACCAACCTGGGGCGGTGGAGCCATCCTTAATAAATATACGTGAAAGTAAAAATTTTCAGTACTTAATACTCCTCTAAAATCCAATTATCTACTTTCATTTGATAGGCAAGCAGCTATTATAAAGACCATATCGGTTAACATTAACTTGAAAGTTTACTAGAATAACAAATTCATCAGAGTAATTCTGAAGAAAGCTTATTAAAGAGTCATTCATTTTGTGCTTCCGTATTTAAAAGATTAAGTTAGATTCACAAGCTTAAAATTTCCAATCATAGGTACTCTGAATCACCCCCATTTCAGTTCCACACCTCTCACCACTCTTGTACCTATCTTCATAAAGCCCTAGTTTGCCGGAACCCGAGACCGGAACTCGTGCAGCCTGCTTCTTGTGCTTCTGTTCCTCAAGTACAGCACATATTGTAGAGCTGCTTGTGTCCTGTAAAACTCGCTCCGGATCTGGACCTAGCAATGAAACAAATAAGTAAGCACCTAACAATAGACCATAATTATTATAGATACATTCCAATATTTAACAGCATTATTTCAAGCAATGTAAATTGATATGAAATTTAGGTTTCACACCAGGACATCTCTGTTAAGTTTATATTGCCATATTAAAGCTGCCCAGGTGTAAGAAGACTACAGGTGCCCCATAAAAGTATTATTTCAAATAGCATCAAAATACCACTAACTGAATATTATTTTAAGTGGCATTATGCTCATTTTTTTACTGCTAATCTGAAGATAATTAGTTGTCTGTATTTCAAAAATTTTGACTATTTTTTATGGTGTTGACAAAATAATTGGCACTTACCACTTCTTAGGTGGGCATAATGTCACTTTTACAACTACACAACATTGGTTGTAAATCATCATTTAATAGATTTTGTAACAAATTTAAGGAAACTACTTACCTATAAGTCTAAGAATACTCTGTGTTAGAGCTAGAACCCCAGAGTTCAGCAGCAGACTCAGGCTGTTTCCTTGATGCTCTGATACCAGCAGTCCAAGGTGAGCAAGTATGAATCTTGCCTGAGGCAACACACCTAGGTTCAATTTCTCCTGTAACAAATCAACAATGGTAACAATGATTCAAAACCACTAAAATACCATTACATGTAAGTTAATAATGCTGCATTTTCAACATTTTTTATTGCACCTATAATGTACGACTAATATTAAGCTTACTAAGAAGTTATGTTTGCACAACTCTTATGATGTCTTCACAAACTCTATGCACGGGCCGGTAACATTGTTTTAACCGAGTCGCAAATCGAAAAGCGGCAAATATACTAGATAACTAGCTTAATCAGATGTCATACTAATCTCAACAATCTCAATGAAAAGTCAAAACAAGATTCTAAATACAACTGATAATCTTCTGTAAGCCAAATTAATGGATTTCTCTCATTAAAGAATTTTAAGTTCTTAGTGGACTAGGAGTCCACAGCTTTAGGAGGCATTTGATTTAAAGACAAGGGCCATAACCACTCTGCCTTAGAGGCCCCATCAGAAGTCTAAATTAGATAAAATGAAAAGTCTTTTTGCTGACAGAGATACAATAACCTACCTTTGTGTTATCTTGGCTGTTTTGACTTAACTGACATGGATTCACTCCCTTGGATTTAATTGTGATATCCACCTGTAGAACATTGTGCCTCAATTCCTGTGTAGACCAGCGGTACAGCTCGGAGAATGTCATCTGCAGAAGTATACGGTCACATGGTGGAATCAGTGTGATGTCCGTTAGACACTGTGGTACAGGTTTGCTGTAAAGATACAGGAGAAATGTCAGTTAGATACTGTGGTACTACTTTGCTGTAAAAATACAGGAGAAATTTACGTTAGACACTGTGGTACAGGTTTGCTGTAAAAATACAGGAGAAATGTTGGTTAGATACTGTGGTACAGATTTGCTGTAAAGATACAGGAGAAAATGTAGATTAGAAACTGTGGTACAGGTTTGGTGTAAAGATATGGGAGAAATGTAGGTTAGACACCGTGGTACAGGTTTGCTGTAAAGATACAGGAGAAATGTCAGTTTGACACTGTGGTACACATACAGGTTTGCTGTAAAGATACAGGAGAAAATGTAGATTAGAAACTGTGGTACAGGTTTGGTGAGAAATGTAGGTAAGACACTGTGGTACAGGTTTGCTGTAAAGATACAGGAGAAATGTCAGTTAGACACTGTGGTACAGGTTTGCTGTAAAGATACAGGAGAAATGTCAGTTAGACACTGTGGTACAGGTTTGCTGTTAAGATACAGGAGAAATGTCAGTTAGACACTGTGGTACAAGTTTGGTGTAAAGATACAAGAGAAAGTGTAGATTAGAAACTGTGGTACAGGTTTGGTGTAAAGATATGTGTGAAATGTAGGTTAGACACCGTGGAACAGGTTTGTTATAAAGATATGGGAGAAATAAAGTAAACAAATGTTAGTTTTACACTGTGGTACCGACTGATTACAGACTGATTTTGCAGTATTTATCACCATATTCCTACTGTGCGATTAATGCAGAAAGGGAAAATTTTGCATACTTGCATGTTTTAAGTTATTTATGAGGATTGTAAGTGCCATTTGCAATGTGTGGATTACATTCTCTGTTTACTTTACAATATCTTACTTTTACATTTAAATTTTATATGAAAAACTGGTCTTTATATAGAGGTTTGACTAGAGTATACATACCAGACCCTATGACCTGCGGTAAGCAGACCCTGCCAGCCACACAGCAGGTTAAACTTCACTGGGAATTGGAATCCAAAATGGCCCTATGAACCATGCTAGCATGGCTGTATACCTTTAGCCCCGGGTCTCAGCTCTCCTACCTGGTTAATCAATCAAATTTTCATGTTTATGTTTCATATTAACACAACATGAACAACACAGGTAAAATACAACAGCCCTATATTGTCTCTACTTTGGAGTAAATATTCTAATCTCATCAACAGATTTCGGAAGAGTGTGTTAGTAACATTAATTGTGAGTATAACGAGGCTTCTCAATCTTATGCACGAAAGAACCAAAACCTTCGTATATATTCAGGCTTGCACACTTCTCAAGTTTAATCATCTACTTTCATTAAACTCCTTGAGTAACTTCGGTCCTCACATGAAAAAATACAAAGTCCACACCTCGATTAAACCTGTAGTAGTTGAGGGTTCCATGTGAACAACCTTAAATCACTTGGCAACAGAAGCCCTTTTGATTTGTCTAAAATCTTAGCAAATATGCAACATTCACATCTGAATTAAGCCAAAGTAGACATTACTTCCATATGAAATTTCTAAATATTTACAAGAATGCAATCCTGGAACAGGCTAAATACTTATTTTCCCCCAGCAAGTCATTGCAATATGTCCAGTCTACAGGGGGATATAGGCTAGAGATGGGCCAGTTTATTGAGGTTCAACTGAAATACATCAGAATATAAGTCAACTACTCACCTGATGGTGTAGAGACCGTCTAAGTTTCTCTATATCAATGGGATTTTCATGCATGACAAATTCTACAATTTTGTTAACCAGTGGCATCTCTGTCCGAGACCCAGTGAGGCGTTGACGAAGCCAGCTCAACTTTTGACTACTGGTCACCATACTGACCAGTGAATCCCAGGAATCTTTCTGCAATTAATAAAATTAACCAAGTTTATGTTGTTATAATTTATTTTTAATAAAAATATTTGAAGTCTATTGTGTAGTAAAATCTTTCCAAAAATTTCTAGAAATTATAAGACAAAAGTCCATAACTTTCCTCAAAATTTAAAAATTATCTATTGCACAAAGTTTATCAATCATCAGGAGATATTTATTCATTGTTTTCAGGGAATTTTTTCAAAATTAATGTAAATACCTCTTTTCATAGTGTACCATACTTGAAATGAATTGTTCTGTAATGTATTAATATAATGTTAACCTTTTACCCCATGAGCACATTGTGAAAAATGGCCGTTTTAATTGGAAAGCCTCTTGTTACAAGTTCCAACTGCTACATGTATAAAATTATGAAAATGCTTCAATACTGATGAAAATTGGCACATATGTTGACTGAACCATAACCTCTGTAACAACATGCTCAATCTTAAATTTCCTGTTACCATGGCAACTAGGGGAAATCTCAAAATTGCGAAAAATCATTATTTTGCATTGTTTTTTTTCCATCAAAACTGATTTCAAAGTGCTGCAACTTCTCAATGCAATGAGATAGAGTAAAAGGCTTTTCAGCGTTGGTTACACGTCACATTAAGATCGACATGAGGCCATTCTAAGCCTGTCACATGTCCAAAATTTTCTTAGCGATAAGGGGGACTACCGTCCCCCTTCAAACCCCCAAACAGAAGGGGGCACATCCCCCTTCTGGCAACCCCTGATGTAACTTTTTGATGGGGGGCTGCACCGAAAAAGTGGTCACTTTTAAACAACATTTCTCAAACAAAAAACAGTGTTTGGGGCCTAAATAGGGCATTTTTTCACTGTTTGAGGCCTCAAAAAAAGGGGTGGGGACAAAATGCCGTCAAAACACGTCTATATGAGGCAAAGGTTAAACACGTTAAAATAACTTTGAAAATATATCAGCTCACAATATATAAAACATGATTGTCAATTTTATTTCCATTTAAGGCTCCTAAAGTTACATATCAACTGGATTTGGAAACAATCTTTAAAATGATTATCAGCAAATGACCATAGATGAAATTAAAATTGTCCTCAAATGAATTAAAATAACCAAATATAGGGGCAAGAAAACTGGTGTAAAGTATTTGACCTACCTTTCTCCTACTTTTTCCCTGTTTCTTTTTATGATGTCCAGCATGTCCACTTCCTTCCATTGGGGGAAGACCTTCAACGTCAGCACTTCCATCTACCAACTCAATGTCATGTTCTTCTTCCAAAGAATCCCCTAGTGGAGCCTCATTCTTGCCGAACACTTTCACCACAAATTCCCCAGGTTCTGATTGGACCTCACTTCCTTTAGCTCCACCTCCTGAACTGTCAGTGCTGCCACCTGGGGCTTCTTCTGATTGGCTCCCTAGTAGAAGATGACCTTCACTTTTCCCATCTTCACTTTCTTCTGGGACTGACTTTTCAACATCACCGACATTCAACGTTACCACCACTGGTGAAACTAAAATAAACAGTAACCACATGGTACTAAATAAATTGAAATCATAGACTTTATATTCCAAAAATAATTTTCAAGCAGAAATTATGAAAATATGATTGCCTTTTCTTCAGTTTTCATATACTCTAACTCTCCAATGACATATACAGTAGAACTTCTATGAGTCGAACTTCGATTAGTAGATTTTCTCGATGTGTCGAAGTAAAATGAAAGTCCCGATTTTTTCCCTTATATATTCCTTATAAAAACCTATTGATGAGTCGAGATTTTATGTGTCGAATTTTTCGATGTGTCGAAGTTTTTTCGTGGTCCGTATATAATAAATCTAGTACAATTTACCACAAATAAGTCGGAGTTCTTCGGTTATTTTGACACCTTCGACCTCGAGACATTTTCACACCTTTTCTGGTCGCGAAGACAATTTCCGATCAACTTTTTAGCGACAGGTGTTAATTACACAGTTGAGTGTTCCAAACAGCCTTTGTATGCGTTTAAATGTGTGAAAAAATGCTTTAATCATTACTATTTTAATTGCCGTAGCGGTATTTGAAAGTACATGTAAACAGTAAGAACATTTTTTTGAGTTCTTCCGTGACCCGGTGTCGCGTGATAATCACACGCGAAATATTTACTATAAGCTGGTTAAGTTATTGCCCTTTCGTATTGTTAAGCCTTTTGTAACTTCATTGTATACGTCAACAGGGAGTCCAAATCATTAGCCGTGAAAAGTTACTTAACATGTCATATTTATCATTGTATAATGTGAAATATCAGATTAATGAATGAAAGAAAAACATGAAATAGGTTACGTTATATATCTTATAACATATATCTTATAATTAGGGCTAGTCACGGGTGGAAACTTGTCATGAAATTTAGACCGATTCATGAGTCGAAGTCCCGATGTGTCGAAGTTTTTACGCAAGTCCCTCCAACTTCGACTTACCGAAGTTCTACTGTACATAAAATCCTAACTGCATTTTGAAGAGAAAATTTTACACAAAATGTGTACAGATTAAAAAAATAATCATGAACCCCCATCTTAGGAAACCTAACGTTTCAAAATACTGCTTTTAAAAAAATCCTTTTTTTAAATACCATAATAATGAACAATTTATGCAGTAAATTGATATCATTATGATAATGGAGATGGAAAAATTTGAGCTAAAAATATTTTTTATATAAAAATCATTACTTCTCTTCCTGTTTTCCTCTATAACTTTATTAATGGCCATTTTCCACCTAGATGTGCTGTGTAGAAGTTTTGACCGACTCATTGCATTCACTTCATTCCCAATCGCAGGTCGTAGTTCATTAAACAGGAAGTGACATCGCTCTATGACAGGAGCGCAGACCTCTTTATAGGATCTGCTCTGATCTTGATGGGCCTAAAATATGCAAATAAATATTTACAACTACATACAATGGAATGCGTTAATCAATTCTATATTCTCTGTATTTCAAAAAAATAACAAATGAACTTGTTTGATTTGCTTACAAGTCTGTATGTGTGACACCATTTTATTGAAGATATATCAGGCAAACTTAAACATTCTATGACAAACGGGGACTTTCAGTATTAATGTTAAACCACAGGTGCCTTTTTGTTAATTTTTTTGCATGGCAGGACTTGTGTAAAACCAGCAACTTTCCATCACCTGCATGTAGATATCTATCTTTTATTATCAAAGGAAGAGTGTCGAAAAAGTTTTTGCCATAAAGAAGAGAAAGGCATGTGATATTTAGATACGTACCTAAGCCACTTGGCCAATATAATCAATATTTTCAAATCTTTTCAACATTTAAAAATATAACTTGACTATGTGTGACAGGAGAATGGACAAACCACAAACTATATGATTCATCAAATAGTTTCAAGAATCATAAAATTCACACAGAGATATATAAGTAAGATAGGACATATACCTTTATAAGTGAGCGTTTCACTTGTCCTACAACTCGGAGAAGTTCTATGATAGCCTTCGGGAATGTTAATTTCCCAGCATCCCCTTGTCCATGCTCTATAAGTCCGAGTATAACATGAGCCAAATCATGATGCTTGATCAATACTGCCAGAAGTAACCTGTAATTAGATACATCAATAAATATTAACATTTTTTGAAAATTCCTCTCATCAAAACACTACGAATATCATATTTCTAGCTTTAGTAGAAAAAAACCCAAGATGCATCTCCAAGCATTATTTCAGTCACAATTAAATAGCAAAGTAGAACCATGCATCTTCTATAAGTTTGCTAGATAGCTTCATTTAATCCTGACATTATTTCAACCCAAATAAGAGAAGAGCAAGTGACTGTTAATCAGGAACAGTATTCAAACATTCAAACCATGATATTCATCTAAACATTTGTCAAATTAAATGTTTCCCTGTTTATGATACAAATACTATGACCTGTGATAAATGACATCATATAAGACAAAAAACAAACAATAAATAGGTACATACCTTCCAACTTCTTCAACTGGATGCTCAGGTGGGAAGTCTATGGGTAAACTGATATGATGTTGTTTGGAATATCTCTCGGCCATACCAAGGAATGTCTTCACAGCCAGATCCTGACATTTACCCTCCACCATAGCCTGCAGGAAGGGCCTCGACACATCTGAGATAGAGGCCTGACGGTCAAACAGGGCCTCTTTATCTTCTATGGCAGAACTAGTCATCTCACAGGCACTGCTTGTTGCACCTGCTCCTATAAAAATATATACAGATAAAATACTATTGTTTACTTTTTTAGAATTTACAAATTAATTTCTGATTGAAACACTCTCGGAACTGTTCCTGGAAGCATTGAGTATAAGTTTCTTGCTCACCAAAACAACCAAACGGGGCCAGCAATCATTAGATCACTAGTCTGACATGTTAACCACTATGACTGTTATAGGTGAGGAAGAAACAAGACTTTCAAGGCCTCATAGTAGAGGATGATTCCTGTCTGTATTGTTTCTACATTTACCAGCAAGCATCTGGCAAAAGGTAGATCGTCAATAATCAAGCCACCTCCTTTGATAAAAAAAAAATTGTCAATTGATAGAAGTTTTGGCAATATAACAATTTGAAGATCTATATTTATCAAAATTTTGCACGTTTTTTTGTTGTTTTTTCCGGCAATTTTAGATAGGATTTCCCATGCAAAGATACAGATAATTTTTTCCATTCCTAAAAATGTATTTACAGATAAATTATTCATACTCTTGTCCAAGATTAATAATGGCATCTCAAACTTCTAAAATAGACTGTCATTTACTCAATTGGAGTTAACCAACCTGGTGTTGTGGTCACACTAGATGACCTACTCTCCCCTTTCTCCTCCTCAAACGGATTCCTGGGTTGTAGTAACTGCAGGCCACCACGGAAGAAGTCTGAGCTGAGCCAGTCACTGCACTCAAGTTCATCCTGTGACAGGGGTGTGCTACGTGCCTGCTGTGCCGCGTGCAAACCTAGCAGAAGACTGAGGGTACGTTCAGTATCCATCAGGGGTGAGGAGGCTGTACTTGTGTCCATTAGCTGAATTATGTCTTTTTCAGGCTGAAAATTCAACATTGCAAAAGATTAATTTCACTGTATATGTTTAAGTAAATATACAAAAATTGTAAGTTTTGACAGACAGTAGTTTTTGAGAAAAGTATCATTTCTCTAAAATTCTTGAAAACAATAACCTTTCATCCAATGACAATCAAATGTATGTTCATCTATTTCCCCAATTCTAAAATTTATTTCACTTCACTGATATGACACCTTTAAGATTGATTAAATTAAAATCTAATGACTCTCATTAGTACATTTATTTAATGACTAGCCCTGATCAACATTTTAAAGACTTTTGCTTATTTTTGTGATTTCAAAGATCAAGAAACTTAAACTGCTCGGCCAACATTATAAAGCCTGAAAAGATAGCACAGCCCAGTGCTCTTTTTTAAAAATATCTGTGGGTTTTACATCACACCAACACAGTATAGGTAATTTTTGTGACTCTCCTGCTTTACTTGTGGCAGAAAACCTCAGAAGCCCATCTGTGCATTATTTAAGGCAAAAATTTGTCACCTGAGTATAACCACTGAATGATGTTCCATAAGCTACTAGGACAGCTTCCTCACATGAAAGAATCCAAAGTTACTGGTATGATGACAACTTTGACCTGTCCTTACCTCTACATACTGTCCAACATAAAAGGCATGCAACATTTCACGAGCTTCTATAGAATGATGAGCATTTTCAAAAGCTGCTGTGGCGTCCCGACCAGCGTACTCCGTGAGCACCTCCCACCCGCACCGTGCCTGTGTCTTGAAATCGTGGACGTCATAAACCTTGCCATGGATTATGATCCACAATCCACCATCTTTGTTATGATTCTCGAGATCAGCTTTACGTATTGTTTGTACATCATCCTGGCTCTTGTGGCTAATCTTGTCTAATGAATGACCTGCAATGTAAATACAAGTATAACAAATTATATAGAAATTAAGTGTTTGCACCCTGTCTCATTTTAAATTTATACTAAAAACTAGAAATGTTTCATTATGCCACGGATGCCCCCGCATGCAGCCAAAATTTCAGATGGTGCATTAATTATTTTTTTTCATTTTAAGTTCAAAGCCCTTAAAACTTTTCAATGTTAACACTAACCATGTTCAAGGCACTGAAATTATTCAGTCTTAACCTTTTAAAAATAGCATATTGCGTATTTGTAGCCAAAATAATGGCTAAAAGTATGAGTGCTGAAACTGAAAGTTCAAAATTTTTCCAACATTCAGGAAAGATAAGTTTGTCTAAAATCATTGAACCACGACCAAATTCAAACTTAAACTGCTTATTCCTAAGATGTATCTATATTATTTTCAAAGTGAAAGGGACATAACTCTGCCAAAAAATCATCAAACCATGACCAAATTCCAACTTGACCTGCCCATTCCTTTGACATATCCATATGTCAAATTTAAGTTGAATATGTAACACTGTTGGGTAGATAATGAACAGAAACTGTAAATTTCTTTTTATTTTCAAAGTGAAAGGGGCATTACTCTGCCAAAAATCATTGAACCATGACCAAATTCGAACTTGGCCTGTGCATTCCTTTGACCCATCCATATGTCAAGTTTGAGTTGAATGTGTTGTACCATTGGGGAGATAATAAACGGAAACTGAAAATTTCATATTACTTTCAAAGTGAAAGGGGCATAACTCTGCCAAAAATCATTGAACCATGACCAAATTCGAACTTGGCCTGGGCATCCCAAAAACATATCCATATGTCAAATTTGAGTTGAATGTGTTGTACCATTGGGGAGATAATAAACGGAAACTGAAAATTTCATATTACTTTCAAAGTGAAAGGGGCATAACTCTGCCAAAAATCATCGAACCATGACCAAATTTGAACTTGACCTGTATTTTCTCATGACATATTCATTATGTCAAGTTTAAGTTGAATGTGTTGTACCATTGGGGAGATAATGAATGGAAACTGAAATTTCATATTATTTTCAAAGTAAAAGGGGCATAACTGTGCCAAAAATCATCGAACCATGACCAAATTCAAACTTGACCTGTATTTTCTCATTACATATCCATATGTCAAATTTGAGTTGAATGTGTGCAACAGGGTAACACTATATGCCCTGGCCATTACATGGCGGGGGCATAACAATCAAATTTAGGATTTAACTCACTACAACGTCGGAGCAGGACCTCTAGACGCTTGCAAAGAAATCATGATTATTAAGGAGAAAATATTGCTTTTTTTGCTGGAATACAGTATTTGGTGTGGTGCTTAGTCTCACTCTAAAATTGAACATTTTTTTACCATTTTGGTAGTTTAAATCATTTCGAGCAACCATTAAACTTCATATAAAATTTTGGAAAAAAAGACAGGCCTTTCTGGTAAGCATTACTTTTTTATTTGTCTGTTTTCAATGTCATGAAAATCTCTATTGTATATAACTTAAAATCATTAACTTTATCTGCTTTTTTTATTGGGTAAATAAAAAAGATTTATCATAAAAATTTAATGTAAATTTTTGTTTCATTTGGTCCTTTGAAATGTTTATATATAATTATTTCCTAATGTACTATGTTACCAACATGTCCTAGAATCAACATTCACTTACTCCAAACTCCTGGCCATGACAGATCTTCCCTATCCTCCCTGCCAAGACCGGGTGCCAGCCTGTTATATTTATCCAGAATATCTAATACTTGTTCTAGGATAGGAACCGATCCAGACATCTGAACTACAGCCGGGCTACGGAGCTGCAGCAGAACCATACAGGTTAACATCTCAGGTAAAAGAACCCCTGAAAATAGCAAATAACAGTAGGTATAATGACATAAATGTAGTTCAAAACTAACAATACACTAGATGGATCACCCTTTCTGTGCAACGGGGTACATATTAACATATCACTATCACGAAGAGGTCTGTTTGCTTCAACATGAGTAGACATTTCACTGTTCATAAATTCATATTTTTTGAAAAACATTTTTTCCCCCTAAATTAATAAATTTATTAATCAGTTCAAGGTTTGAAATAAATATATTCATATACAACTTTGTTCATTTATCTCCATGCATTTTTTTCTCCGGTTTTCTCAAATGACACCAAAACTGATAAAGCAGCATGCCTCCAAATTCATGTTACTTTTCATGAAAATTTTGGAAATGTATTTAAAAGTAAAATATTGTGAGGTTAACAAATCAAGTAATTTTCATATTGCAATCAGCACTTACAATCCAAGAAAATTACAAAAAGTGGTCCACATAAGCAAAAATAGGCTAAATATCATAGGTTTTGAAAACTGTTACACTGTATTTATACAATTACAACTCTTGCAATGAAAGGTTAAAGGCTGTTTAAGGCAGAGAATATTTAAATTGTTAGATATATATAAATTTTCTCCCTTTAATATAGAAGAGTAAAATGTAAGGTTATTTAATATACATACCTGTTACATCACTAGTGATAATTTTCGAGACTAGAGAGAAATGTTTAGAGCTGATATTTGCCAAGCTGGCCCCTAGGGGCAGTATATCATTGACATGGTTACATAACAGGGAGGTGTACTTCTTAAGCAGGGAACCTGCTCCTTGAAGTGTGAAATCTGAAAAAGATTTGCATCAATTATGCTAAAAATCAATATTTTTTTAAAATTTGTGAATAGGTATGAATATTCCTTTCTTGCATGGGTTTAAAGCAACAGAAACATTGTTAAGATGAAAAGGTGACTCTCAAGTTTTACATAGCTGTCCGGTTAGCAGGTATATTTAGAACGCTGGACTGTGAATAGGGTGATCAGGGTTCAATTCCCGGACAGTGCAGACTTGTGACTGATCAAGAAATCCTTTCTAGTGTCATTTTCACTGAACCTCTGCTCTGGCATGTACAGAAGTTGTTGGTTCCTTGTGAAAGTTAAGGTTCTAGTACTGGTTATCTGTTTGACAGCCTGCCCAGACATCATGGGGTGGCATAACTTTGATTTACTGCTGTGATCCAGAAGGTAAACTACCAAAACCACCACCATCATTTCAACCTTTACTGGTAGAGGAAGGTCCAGATTTTTTTCTCAAATATTATGTTAACAGCTTTCTTCTATGATACAATTTAAAACCTCAAAAACCATAACCAGTTTATCATAAAGTCTCTAATATTGATTAATCTTAATTTTGAAATCTGTATATATATTATAAATAGCTCACATATCTAAATATGGAACTACAGGTCAAAGATTACAGTTATAATTATTCAGCTTTTAAAGTTATTTTAAAGTTATAAATTAACTATTTAAGCTGATCTTAATACAGAGTTCTAAGTAGTAATTAATGTATTTTAACATATCATGGACATTTATCAGATTTTACCTAAATCAGTTGGTGAGGCCAGACAACAGTTCTGTTTTGGAAACATTTTGGCGATGAGTAACCTCTGGAACTGTAAAAGTAGGTCAAGCGATGGTGATGTGTCCTTCATTACCGTCTCCTCCATCTTCACGACACCATCCCGAGACAACTCGTGTAACAACGACTGGGAATGTGATGAAGAGTTCCTGTTAAGAAACAAAAAAGTTCAGATATAATGTCAAAATAAACCTTCAAATGGAATATTTGTTAATTGGTTAGGTTCATTTCACAGATTGTAACAATATCTAAGCACACAAAAAAGACCATCTTAAACAAATAAATTAGTACATGTAGTTCTATCCTGTATCTTGCTAAATCTTTATAATGTACTTGTCTTGATTTTGTTTTGTTCATTATAGGAATAAGCATTTAAAACCAGTAAATTTTAGAAGCCAACAAAAAACGGTTATGCCAGACCACAGTGATATAGATTTATTTAGATGGCAACTCATTATCACCACAAAAATAAAACAAAACATATCTACACAGTACAACTTCTACAGAGTAACACCCTTTGGTAGGCAAATATTTCATTTGTTGTTGAGGGTTGGTTGCTCACGAGAGGTTAAATTCAGGGTTAAATCCTACTTTGGGAAGATCTGAAAAGGGTTACTGGTCTACAGAGGGCCATTCTGTAGAGATTACACTGTATTGTATGAATTACCTAAGTAACTGTTGGATTAGTTGAAGGAGTGGAATGCTAGCACTGGAGTCCTCCTCTATATCGGTGCCGGGTTCAAGCTTCGTTTCACTAGATGCCTCAGAGTCTGGTGTTTTCTGGTCCTCTTTCTCCTCTGATTCCTGAGTTTAACAATGGTAAATGTACATGTAGAGATAACTATCATAATGCAATGAGAATCACTGTAAAATTTGTGTAACTGTGATCTTAAATAATCTATTTTATTATATACTTATAAATGAAATATTGAGAAATATTGATGAAATAAAATGCGTATTTTCATTTTCCGTATTTTCACTGTAAAAATTTATTTTTCACTGTAGTGAAACATATTTTCCGTATTTTCACTGGTGTCTTGCCGGACTACTTTCTTTTAAATTCTGCCAGTACATAAAATTTAAGGGAAAGTCTTTCAAATTTTACCGCAAAAAAGAGAAAAATGTATATAATAAACAGAAAATTCAAGTTTTTTCTATAAATACATGATTTATTTTCATCTTGTGGCATGAAAATTACCATATTTCACTCGTGGCTACCGCCACTCATGAAATATTTATTTTCATACCACTCAATGAAAATAAATCATGTATTTATAGAAAAAACTTGAATATCCTCTATTTCCTTGAATTCAATGGACTTGCATTTTTATATATATTCAAGATTAAAACTTCTAAAATTCTGTCTCAGCAAAAATATTGTATCTACAAAAAACTTTTTATGAATATTATTCTTTTCATTTAATTCTTTACAGCTTTATCTTATGAAATATTTTTAGAATATTTATAAATGATTCTCAAAAGAATCAAAACATTAAAACAAAGACTGAAACTGCTATTTAATGCATGTGAATAGTGTATGAAAACAGAATTAAATTTTCCCAAATAAAATATTATTCTGCTATTTAAAGAATCATTTGCATGCCCCATTTGCTCATAAAAATATACTAACATATTTGTTTCATACAAGAATTTTGAAATTATTCTTTAACAAAATTGAAACAATGATTTTATTATCTACAAGGAGCTAAAATATAACTTTATACACTTTAAATAATAGCAATAAGAATAATCTCTGTATTTCAATATTTACCATAACACTCAATCAACAAAATTGGATTATCTACTTGAGCTACTTAAAAGTAACTTACCTTTTTCTCTTCAAATGTCTCTTTTTCTTTCTTGATTGCTTCCTCCATTGCAAACTCTAGTCCACCGTCTGCCATCAAACTGCTCACCAGAAGGTCAGTCATAAATCTTTGACCAGCACTCATACCTGACGCATCTCTACCTGCTTCAAACATGTCAATAGTTATAATGAGTTGTATTATTTCTCTCATAAATCAGATTTGTTTGACTTTAATTCTTTAAGATTTTCCTGTACCCCAACTTACAGGCAGGACAAGAATATATTATTCATCAGCACATCACAGAATTACAAACCAAAAACAAAGTAACAGCCAATAAGTGGTAAATCAACAGTATGATAATACTATCAAAATTTTGAGATACTATAACATTACATAATTATTACAATACATAGCCTTTGACAACAAACCCTACTTACAACAGTATGGACCTATATAAATTTCCAGCATTGCCTGAAATTGCTCATTAGTTAAAGAATTCTCAGAATATTTAAATCAGTTTAAGAATTCTCAGAATATTTAAAACGAAATACCCTATGTCAAGGCAAATTTCAAAAGGTATTATAAGCTAATTTCTTGTAAGAAACTATTATTTAGGATCCTGATGCTATAAAATATATGTCAAAGATACATTTCTTTATTTCTAAAATTTATTTCAATTCACAATGACCCTTTTCTTTATCTACAACTGACAAATGTAAACACTATACCTCCTGAAGACAATAATGAAGATAGAGCTCTAGCCCTCTCCTCAGCTGTAGGGAGGAGAATTGACCAGCCATTCTGTAATGTGTTCTGGGCTGCCATCTGTACAGTGGAGATAACTCCACTATTACTGGCAAGGGAGACAACCCTCTTCTTCAAGCTGGTAACCAGAGAGCTGCCGGCTCCTAGCCCAAGTTGTTCAAAGCTCTCATTGTGGGAGATGGCAACATGGAGCTGTAACAATAACAAAAACAGGTGTTAAATCATTATTTTTTTAATATGTAAACAGTAGTAACTCAGCTTTTACAACTTCTCTCCCTTTATCCTGAGTGTACTATGTTTCTTGATATAACTTGGAATGTTTAATGGGCTTTATAGCTCAATGATCCTCAGCAAAATACATCCCATTCATAAAACCCTTCATACATATATTGAATGTCATACAATATATGATATGTAAATGATATTACCAATTTTAATGCAGACATTCCATTTGTCCATGCAAAATAGGTTTTCGATTGAAACTATACTATTAACATTTTCTTTATTTCTACTCCATTACAAAGGGAACTGTCAGCCAAATCTTAATAAGTTTCTTCCTGGATAGAACCAGCTTTGATGTCAAAACTTAAAGACCCTAGTGGAGCTCAGATCCAATATCACAAGATCACAAAGTACACACCTTTAGTATTAACAGGTTTATAATCAATATACATGTACCTGCAGATTAAGTAGATTTAGGCCTGCTACTGCCATACACTCTTTCTCTTGTTGCGGTGGCCAGTCACTGTGTCCGTCCATACCCTCACATACCTCTGCTAACAGCTCGTCCAGCTGTTCAAAAGTGGCCTTGCTGATGTCCACAACAAATGGCACTCTCATACCAACAGTAGAGTGACCACCATAAGACCACACGAAACTCTGAAGACAAAAATCAATATCAAAATATCTGACGAATGACATTACAATAAAAAACTCGCTCTGTATTCAATGTGTTACACAGTAAAACATTTGGAACAAACCCGTTTTTCTTTTTGTTTGCCTTTCCAAATCTAGATCTACAAACAATTAGAATGGCTAGGCCTATATTGTTTTTATTCTTAAATCATTCTTGTCTAAATAAAGGACATATAACATTAACTCAAATATGAGTATTTGAATGGATGTTACCAAATAAGGTCACAATGAACCATTGCCATGTAACACAATAATTATATGTATACTCTACTCATAACAAGAGAAAACTATAAAATGGATACTGAGTTAACTCATCTTTAAAACGTTAGGAAGTTAAATTTGACGCTATAAAAAGTGTATTACCTGTGAGGGTCCACATGCAGCTCCTATAATTTTCTTGCCGTCTAGACCAGTTAACAATGTTGGTTCTGTCCTGCACTGTATTGACATGTCCCCTAATTGACCCTGGTCATTGCGACCCCATCCATACACATCGCCGTCCTCACTGACCGCCAGACAGTGCATTGAACCGACTGAAATATCCACGATTTTCTTCCCACCGAAATGTTCAATTTGTTTAGGTACACGTACATGTTCCTCCGTACCATGTCCTAGACGATAGTTATCACCTTTACCCCTGGATAAAATAAAAACTTCATAATAATACCACAAAAGCCAAACAAAAGAGCTCCCTTAGTAGATACATTTGTTATTCTTTTGTCATTTTCAAGGACAACACATAATGTTAACTTGCTATACTTATAATATTTCATTAAAGATTTTTTTATTTGAAGATAAAAGCTAAGCAGTGTTACAATTCATAAGGTATATCAGAAGCAAACAGAGTTTAGAAGCTTTTGAGCTTTTGTCCAAGATGTGGCAAATAATCAAATTCATATCAAATTAAATCATTTTTCTCCACATGTAGAAAATTTGCAATGACCCTAATGTAGCTATATTGAAGACCTATGCATCTTTGGTTGAGAGGCAATCAACCTTAACCATTCGAAACTATTTTCCATTTTTCAGAGTCCTATTACACTGTATCTACATCATTCTGTGCCCTAACTTACCATGAGAAAACAGATCCAGACTTTGTCAATGCCATACTGAACTGTGCACCACAGTACACCTTCACTACGTCCTGCCCCATCAACTTCTCAATCACCTTTGGTGTTTTACACCCATCACTACCACCTCGACCAAGTTTACCATAGTCACCATCTCCCCATGAATAAACCGCACCTGTTCCAAGAATACAATATTTCTTTATATTTACAATTCATTTTCCTGCTAGCATCAGTATAATCAAGTAATATTTAACAGGTTTATAGTAGCCATTTGTGAAGAAACCTTAGTAAATTTGAACCATTCTGAGTCTGGCGAACTTTTCACAAACATTCCATAAGTTTTGTGTATCTTTTTACGTAAATTTGAACTTACGTGAAACCTAAATTTACGTAAGTTGCGTTTCATTAAACAGAACGTGCAATTTATGCCAGTAATAAGTAAGCATAACTTAACGTTAAACTTATGCTAATGCGTAGCTTAGAAAGTTTAGTGAAACGCAAATATATACGTAAGTTCTGCTAACACAAAAAGTTAAAATCATACTCGAGTTGCGATAACGCAAGTACGTTAGTGAAACGCATCCCTGGTTCCTAGTATTTCACTACACTTGTGTAATATGATAAAACATGGTTGTGGCACCAGCAGGATTTGTAACCATGACCCTTGAGAGAAAGACAACCACAGCATTCACAAGGCCACTTTCCCTTTTAAAAGTCTGAATTTGTATCTTTCCATTGTGAATCTTAATTAAAATTTAAGTTTGAAATACTAAAACTATGCAGCTATCGGTGAAGTCTGTCCTGATTCTTTAGAGATAACCAAATTTTGCAATGATAAACTGGCGCACTCAAAATGTCCAAAGCTTTAATTTACAATGTACAACATTGTGAATTTACTTAAAACACTTTTATAACCTTACAAGTTAAATCTCTTTACATTCAAATAACACATCTTTAATCAAGAAAATTCTCATCAAACTCATTCAAAAGAATTACTAATAAATCTTTAAAAGCCATAGATTACATGATACAATTAAAATGTTAAACAAACCTGTATCTGTGACTGCAATGGTTTGAGCATCCCCACTTCCAAGTGCCACATCTATCACTTTATGTCCTTTCAGTGCGGTGACAAGATTTGGGGTGCAATAGTCCTCACTACCACCATGACCAAGGCGCCCGTAGTTCCCTCTTCCCCAGGTGTAGAGCTCCCCACTGGCAGTAACAGCAGCACTGTATGTACTACCACATGTGATATATACAACCTGCTTGCCAGTCAAGGCAGTGATTAAAGTAGGCTCTTCCCTTGCACTAAAATTGTATAAAATAAATCTACATGTATAATAATGATGTTGATTATGATGATGAGGTTGTTGGATCATTATGATGACAATGAAGATGACCCAGAATGAAAAAGATTGATAATGATAACACTTGATAATGATAACTGATAAAATGATGCTGATGAATGATGATGAATGATGATGATACTGATGCTGTTGAATCATTATGATGATACTAGAAATGACGATGACCCAGAATCATAACGATTGATAATGATATGATAACTGATAAAATGATGATGATGATGAAATTGATGCCTAAAATTATAATGCTGTCCCATAACCTCAGCAATAATCTAAAATGTACCTCCTTTATTCATTACTAAGTTACAAGACCAGGACATTAATATAATTTAACATTAAGAGATTTTAATCAATTGTGTAGGCTTGACATAGTAAAAGAGAGTGCTATTAGCAGTGATCACTGGTGTGTTGATTATCTTTTTATAAAACCAGAATTGATGCAACAAAACATTGTGTTTCTTATGACTGATGGAATTACAATGAGTTATGAATTTTGTCTATGTAACAAGACAAACATACAAATTTTTAACAACATAAAAATCTTACATATTGTCACCATGTCCTAGCCTGCCCCCATCACCATTTCCCCAGGACAAGACCTCTCCATCTTTTGTCAATGCCAGGTAATGTTTACCATCAGGGTGTGCAGCCAGCTTCACGACTTCACGGTCCCCAAAACCACCTATCAGCCACATGGACTGTCAACAATAAAATACATTGTTTTATATAAGCATTCAAGAACATTTTTCATTCATGTCAAAATATTATAATAACCTATAAGAAAACATGACTTTATTGTATAAAGTTTAAACAGAATTGATTTCGGTCTGATTGATTGGAAAGCTAAAAGCTTTTGGACTGAGTATGTTCCTGAAGCCAACCAGTGCTAAGCAATTTGCAATAGTGCAAGGAAACAACAATGGTTTGGCCTTGCTTGAGTAAGAACCTACAGAGCCAACAGTCCTTAGATAACTAATCTGACCCATTAACCTCTCAGCCACAATGCCACCTTGACAATGATATGACATCTACTGTAAAAGACGCTTAAACTGCAAGACAACAATTCAATTAGAATGTGGGACTTTTTTATTTCAACAAATTCATATAATATTTACTCTAACTTTCATACTTTTATATCTAAAAATGTTCATTTTTCTTATGGTGTAGGTCAAAATGACACTGTTGAGGTCATACTTTGTAGGTTCGGCTTCACTAGAGGTGGTAGAATGCAGATGTTCCTATGTAAACTATTTTAGGCATAAAAGACTATTTTAGGCATAAAAGACAATGTAGGTAGGACCATTAACCTTTCTTAAGAAAATGTACAGCTCAAATTAAATAATTTACTGTCTCTTGTAAGACTGGAATCGGCAATGGTGAGGGGCATGTGATTTGGACATAACAAAATTAAAGTGGATTGATCTACAATGGGCACATTTTCCAGAATTATTTCAAATGTTGATAAAAATAACCGAAATATATCAGTTGGATATTCCTATAAAATATTATCTTAAAAAATAAATTGTTGATAAAGCTGTAGGTGATTTAGTATGAACATTTATATGAATAATTATAATATTTTGTTCTAAAACAATTTATTATCTGCTATATAAATATATTTTATTTACCAGATCATGTATCTCACACTTACCAATAACATCCATACATAATTCTTTTGTGCTTTTATGTTATAACCGATACAAAATACTATCAACTTAATTATTTATCAAATTAAAGACCTTCCATTATAGACCAATTCACTTCAGGCACTTGCTTAAGAAGGCAGTCAATGCGAAAGTCAAAATTCTTTTCCAGCCACAAGGACTGGGGTCCTTAGATTTATTTCAGGCCCTGATGATTTTTTTGCGGCCCGGACTCTGAAAGGTATTTTTTGTAGGGGTGGGGGAGGGATATTGCAATAATTATAAACAAAAATATTCAGCAAATATGAATTTTCAGACTTAACTTTAAGATACTATGAAAAAAAATATACAGAAACATAATAAATAAAACAGTTTTGCATATTTTAGGCCAAAAATTGTTTCAAACTGGCTGAAATTTTATTCGGACATGAGGACTAACTGTATCGAAATTTATCTCGGCCCTCCTGATTTTTAGTTGGCGAGGTCCGAGGACCGACAGACTTTCGCACAGACTGAGAAGGTCTCTCATAAATTTACACGGAAAATCTGAAGCAGGTCAACTCAATTACATTATCAAAGTCAGTAAAGGAAAGTTCATTCTATTTTGTAGATATCAAATATAACATAACTCACAGCAGCTTCCGATGTGTATGATATCAAATATACATTTCCATTTCCTGCTAGAACAGTCATCACCCTCTCTGCGCATACAATCTGCTGAACTCCGCCCACATCATTCAGGAAGTCCAATGTAATTGGTCCGCTTGTCATATTCCCGCCTTTCCATGCAAACCAACCCCAGGCAATTACCTCCTGCATTAAGCTTGTCTTTTGACACTAAAACAAAGCAACACCAAGTTTTAACAACCAGTAAGTCATACAGTGCCAATCAAATTTCAACACGGAAGATAAATACATTTCAAAACATTATGCAATATCACAATGCAAGAAATAGCTTTGCTATATTTGATATATTGCAATATATTTCACTGCCCTATTCAGAACTATCATGCTGAACATTCATAGTGATAATGACTTTTCAATGGCATGATAATTAAAACGGACTGTCCTGCTGATCAGCGCATTCTGTCCAACGGGTTATACGGTTGGCACACCATTTTTATTGTTTTCAATTTGATATTGGTATCCCAATTCAGCAAACACATGAGAGTTTACAATGCGACATCCTTATATCATCGAACACTCACCCATACATGTGAACACTCCCACTTTTAGCGGAAGACTCCCATTTTCTGCAATAATATTTCAAAGATTTTTCTTAAAATAACGGACATTTTCACAAATTAAATTTTTGATGTCAGAACTTTCTTCTTTGTTTGTTGCAAATTCTAAAATCTCCCTCTTTTTTAAGAAAAATCTCCCACTTGATCATCGAAAAAAGTTCACATGTATGCTCACCTTCTGTGAAGCTGTCAGTGGTAGGTAGGGTTGACACAGTCTATCTAAATGGGACATCATTACCACTGCGCTCATACGTAAATCTACCGCCAAGCTCGCATCCTCCGGGAATGTCAGGTAACGGAGAAAACATTCTGTTGGGCTCACATAGTAGTTGCTCTAAACATGCAGTGAAATGAGATTAATATCTATGTCTCGATAAAAAAGTTTACATAAAGAATGTTTTCAATAATTACTTTTAAATATCATACAGAAAAAGTGTGTGTTTGGTAATTACAAACAGTGCAAGACTTTTTTTTCTTCAAAAGTTGATTCTAAACTTGAACAATTGGTAAAATATTACATAGAAAATATCAAACAATAATCCATAATGAAAACATTTGTAAACAAATAATAAAATAAAAGATCAAAATATCATGATGGAAGTTTCAAAAAGAAATAACTTTTGTGAGTTATAGTATTATGAAGTTGCTCGCAAAATCTGAAGTGTTGACCCAAAGGTTACATCAATATGACAGCCCTTAGTAACTTTTCTTCAAACAGTCACAGTCATGTTTTAAAAAAAACAAAATTACTTTACCTCATCCCATTTTGCCGGCTCAATGACTCGTGATTTTGCACACTGTATGCTCTGAAATCTTTTGAGTAGTGGTATAAGCGGGGCACTGTACAGGTTACTACTAACACGGTTATCAAAATCGTGACGACTGTTGTTCCACAAGTTAAGGAGAAGGAGAACACTACGTAGCACATGGTTCAGGGTTCCACGCTGGACCGCTAGCTCTAGGATGAGAGCCAGAGCTGTCTGCTGGTCTTGAACAGGGACTGGGCTCTTCCCACTTGATGCACTAGAGGAGTTCAAATCTCTGAAATAAAAATAAATACCGATTGATGAAGTTCTAAAATTCATGAACAGTTTACTAACAGTCATTATGAGTCACCAAATGAAGTCTGTCTATAAACAGCTTGTGTGGATCAAATTTGTTGTTTAATATACCACAACACAGACAAGTGCATTTAACATCTCCCTTTCTTGATTTGTGTAGTGTTATGAAGTCCCTCTACGCATAATTTCAGGAGGAAAAGTGCAACCATGTAGAACCACTAACCTAACATTTTTTTATTTTTTTTTTTGGTAAATTTTAAGTTGCACCAATCAACGCACCGAACATCTGTGATCACAGCACATGTCGACTTTCCAACTTTAATGGTGGAATAAGAAGTAAGGTGACCTTCTCTAAATCTTTCAGGCACAAACCGGCACCTGAGAAGAAAATCATCGACATTCCATATGCTAGAAGAATAGCTTTCTCACATGTAGAATTAGACAACATTTGCACCGCTTGAACCTACAGTGGTGATAGGCAAGTGGTTTGAAGTCAAAAACCTTAACCACTCAGTCACTGATGCCCCTACTACCTAACATAAGCTAGCTTAAAATCTAAGTTTCCTCACATGAAAAAGTTCTACATCCATTGCTGGATTCAAACCCATACAGATGACTGGTAACTCACTAATTTAACTGGAAACATAAACCACTTGGCCACAGAAGCTGATCACATTTGGTAGTTTATTTAATATTTTTTTATCAACATGACACATTTTGTTTTCTTTCTGGCTGGTTAATGTTATCATATTATAATTCACCACATATCACTAATTAATGTGGAGTCTGTTATTTCTGTGAACAGCTTTTTGCATTATAATACAAAGTTTAGTTAATCTTTTTATAAGAAGAGTAACTGACCATCTTTCAATTAAACCAAATGAACAATTTGAACCAATTATAACTCAAAGCAGATATTTTTGCAAACAGCTTTTCAAAATATTGAAAACAAAAAAACCCTGATCATTCAAGGCAAAGGGCTCACTACATGTGGCTTAAACTTATATTCAGAAATTTATAGTTTAAGAGAAAACATACTGATTCAGTGCAAAGCAGTTATAATTCATGCTTCAAAGATTAAGAAATACAAAGTTGAACAATGTTTATGTATATTTTATATCAATAATCTCAATAAAACTTCAAAAGCTGTCAGACTAGTAAGGTAATCTTTTATATCATGTATTGATTTAGTTGTTACATTACCTTTAAATTGTGTATGTCTATAGACTAAAATTCAACCTATTCAATAACACTGTTAAATCGATATCTTCTTACAGGGAACCGTTAACAAAAAAAGCAAATTTTTGTATAGAAAAGTTGATAATTGGATTTGAGCTATTGAAAAAAAAAAACTACTGACAAATTCAAAAAGGTATTGGTTTAAAAATGGCATTTCTTTATGGACTTCTTATATAACACAATTATAATGGACTAAATAAGAACAAAATATAACAATAAACTTAACACTTGTATATTTCTACACAGGTATAAATAAGTAAATACAAAATAAATCTCTCCGTAGTTAATTGCATTTCAAGTGGACTTTATAACTAACTTATCAAACATAAATTACTTCAAATCTTATTTTACGATCAATTAAATAAAACTTGTTGGAAATTCATGTAACTTAATTTTTTATTTCAGTACAAAATGGCGGATATAGGTGTATCTAGTGGATCAGACTACATTGAAGAAATGTCTTGTGAATATTGTCATGAAAAAGAACAAAAATATGTCACAGCAGAGGGGTTTTGTGTAAAATGTGTTCAATATCTATGCACAACATGCTTAGGATATCATTGCAGCCTTCTACCAGAGCACATTTTGCAGGACAAAAACAATATGCCAGTGGACTTCTACATGGAGAAATGCAACAAACACCCTCAAGAATTGCTTAAATTCTACTGCATCACTTGTAAAGACATAGCCTGTTTTACATGCAAAGCCACATTCCATGCAGCATGTAAAAATATACATCATCTACCAAGACTAGCAGCTGAATTTGATGCAGTAAAAGAATGCAGCAAATTAGAGGACAATCTTGATATTTTGGAAAAAGAAGTTGAGGATATGAAAGAAAGAATTGATAATCACAGGGAAAGTGTTGAAAAGCAGAATACAAATGTTATTAAAGTGGTAAAAGAACAAAGGCTGAAGGTTAAAAAGATATTTAATGACTTTGGAGAAGAGATTGATAACCTTCACAAGGCAAATAAAAACACACTTGATTTGAAAAACACCAAAAATGATCTTCTCAAAGCAGAGATTCAAGGTTTAAAAACAGAAGTAAGGGCCTTAAAGAATTCTCATCAAAAGTGTAAGGTATATCTGAAAATCAAAAAAGTGGCAGATAAACAAGAGCGTATAGCAGAAACTATGAAAGATTTGAAAAACCAACTTGATACAGATTTAAACAGGTATTCATATAATAAAGCTAAAGAAGAAATCAAACCTGAAACTTTTGAGAAAGTGACTTTGAAACCATTGGATGTTGTAAAAGGGAACAAGATTTCATATTTCATGGTTCTACTTATTCTTGCATGTGCAATTATACTTGCTTTTCCATTTATGACAACAATATATAAAACAATTGAAAAATTGTCTGTACAGCCTATTGCATTGGAAAAAATTTCAGAAAAACATTTGGAATCTTTACCTCAAAGCGTTAACTACAAAGATATATGCTGTTTCTCTGAGCATATTGTCTTCTCTATTACATACCCCTCCATTATACTTTATGAGGATGATGAGGATGATGTCCAAGACAGTTCAATTAAGGAACATTTTATAAACAGAAATGTACAAGTGCACAATCTAACTGAAAAGAAAGTTATAAACAGTTTCCATCAACAGGGTATACAGAAAATTATAAAAGTAGATGAAAATACAGTTGCTGCAACATTTGAAAATAGTATAGAACTTTGGAGTATTACAGAACATCAATCTAATATTGATAGGACAGTAATTAAAACTTTAAACATGGGTCAGTACTGTAGTTTCATTCACTATAGTGTCGGAAATCTGTTTATTAAGTGTCTTGATCATGAATCCGTACAACATACAATAAAACAGTTAAAATTACATGTAAATAAAGTAACAAGCTTCATTTTTCATAGAGACAACACTTATTTTATAATAGATATGACAGTAAGCCCTGATGGTAAGACTATCTATGCATGTAAATTTTGGGAAAACTCAGTCAAAAGTTTTACTCCTGAAGGACACCTTATGGCAGAATATAGAAATGACAGTCTAAGAGACCCAGACAAAATGACGGTGGATAGTAAAGGAAATCTATTTGTAACTGGATACAACAACATTTTCTATGTATCACCTGACTTCACACATGGATATGAACTAATAAAGACAGATCTTTCACTTGGAGACAGCATCACATACAATGAAATTGACAACTCACTTTATATCAGTTCAATTCACAGTAGATCTATCAAAGTTTTCAAAATCAAAACATAACATTTGTATTTCATCTATGTACTGTAAAAAACAATTAAAATGTGTATCATTTTGTTATTGATGTTTTGTTTTTTCTAAAATAACTTTCGAACTTTTGAAGAAAATGAAAAAAATCCGTTGTTGAAACCCCCCCCCGCCCCCCCCCCCCCCCCCCCCACTATTATTAAACCTGTGTCACAGAACCACCGATCTGTCATAAACCAACCAGGTTATTCAAAAGATAAAACATTCAATTTTAAATGTAAGATTCCTACACATATGGTTGAAAAACAAGACATTTGAAGCCAGCAATGTTTGATTTACGGTCATCAAAGTTTAAACGCATGAACACTGACTAAAGTACACTCCAGATAAGTGGGGTTTACAACATGTAATATAATATCCTGAATAAATCTGGCATCAGTTCCAACCCCATCTTTTTTACAGAAATATAACTCAATTTGAACCTCAGAACTTATAATTTATAAAGATGCTTAGGAATAGAGTTAAACAAGTGACTTAAGAGTCATCTAGATTTAATAACTTTATAATAGACCTTTCTATCTTAAACGGACTTCGTAAACGTACTTCTTAATACGGAATAATTTGGGGGATTTTCTCAAAACATAAATGCGCGGAAATAAGGTAAAATGAGCAGTACGCTAAAACTGTGATGCAGCGATTTCAACATATCAACATATAAAAGATGGAGCCAATATAACCATAATTTATATAAAGACAAAAAAAGAAGAAGTAAAACAAGTTTCTTAATTCATAGACTTTATTGTAGTGCTAATTTTTCAACCAAAGTCCAAAGTTTTGAGTGTTGTGAAAGGAGGGCTATAGATAAATGTCATCACTGCTGTCATTGCTGACGCAAAGTTCACAGAGTACTTTTGGATTTTTTTTGAAAGGGGGGGTCCTGTAGAGAGCCTGATTTTCTCATATTTGATTTACAAGGGAACGCCCATTCCCCCTGCGATGAGCCGGCCGGATACGTTGACCTGCCACAACATTCGAAACAGCCGACACTGGGTTCTGAACTTGGTCTTGAACTGCGCTCTCATCGTTATTGCTGTCAACTAGTAATTCTTTCTGACGTAGATCGTCTGCGGGCTGTGGAGCTCTATTACTTTCCCTAACATCATCTTCGTATGTATATTTGAGTAAATTTGTTACTAAAGTAAGTATAAAATATAGTAACTCTTCAGTGTGAAATTGCACGAATTTCTCGAGCGTTAGAATTACGCAATAATAGTACATATGCTATACCGGCTAACACTAAAATAGCACGCCACCAGATTCATGTTAATTTCATAAAAAATTTGGAAATGTTTTTAAAAGTAAAATAATGTGAGATGAACATATAAAGTAATTTACATATTGCAATTGGTACTTATAATCCACGAAAATTACCAAAATGTGGTCAACATATGCAAAAGCAGCCCTTTCTGCATTAGTAACGCAGTAATGGTGATATATACTGCAAAATCAGTGTTAAACTGCACATAACATGTTAAATATAAC